ATATCTTTGGGAACGGACGTTGTCTTGGTCGCGAGTCGTATATTATTAAAATTACATTATTTTCTCTGTGATAACTCTGAAAGTTAAGAATATTTACAACGTCACCCGTTATGCATAAATGATCCCACGTTTTCCAAGTGATTCCTTAAATATACGGTTGTTTCCCCCTTATACCCTTAACTTACTATGCACAGCAGACTTTTAACATTTTTTTTTAAATCTTTCGTTATTTTAAAATATTTCTTCACTCTTTAATTGGTAGCGGTATTTCTATGTATGTCCGACTTTGCTACCGTGTGCTAAAGAAATAATCTAAGGATAATTAATAGATCATAATTAAACGATGTTCATTGAAAACAAATAAAAACTAGACGCGAGAACGGGTATTAACTGGTGTAGGTGAGGCTAATTACTGTATAAACATGGACAATGCACGCAATTTAAATCACATTTTTGATAAGTCTTTAATAAATATATGCACTTTGAAATATGAAAAAATAATTATACATCCGAGTAACGGAGTACCGATTTTAGTATTCGATACTCGGACGTTCGATCGAGAACCCGGTTAACCGGGTACTCGTTGACATCCCTAAAAAATAGACAAAAAAATTGCAAGTATAAAAATTTACTTATAACTGTAATACGTTCATTTAAAAAGCAAATACCTGTAAAAGGTAGTTTCAACATTGCTGCTTTTGAACACTTTTAAGCAAAAGCTGTATTCCAATTGTTTGAGTAATTGTACATCACCTTGTGTGTGCGGTGAGGCATGGATAAGTGCGATTACTTCACATTGTGCTGAATTATGACCAATCAATTATCACGTTAACCAGTGCTTCTTTGTTAATTAATTCAAGAAGTAACTGTTTGGTCAAAATCAGCTAGCTGTTGTATACAGTCCCGAAACGTTTAGATGAATGCAATTTGCTCTGAACGAGACATGTCTTGGAAAGCGATTGTCCATGTATTGTTTTCAAAACAGTTCAAAGTTGAAAACTACCACTGCAACAAAGTGTGATTTTTTTTAAGTTTGGGAAAAATGCTTAATATTCATTTCTGAAATAGCACCCAGGTTTTTCAACCCTTGAAAAATAAAGGATAACTCCCGTTTGGATCTTTTAATTAAAAAAAAATTTAAATGCTTCCCATATTTTCCATTTATATATATTTTTTTTCAATTTGTTTATTTCACTTTGCTAACATATTAAGATACATTCTAATTGTAGATTTTTATGAAATGTAATCTGTCTGTTTTCAAGAAATGAAACTTTTCCAGTTTTTAACGCTTATTTTTTGTTGAAAATTGAAAAAAAAAAAAATACTAAGACATATTTCTTGTCTTTTTTTTTTATATACACTTTATATTAGTAAACTCCTGCCTATAATATTAAGCTTTTGAAAAAAGAATTAAATGAGAAATTTTTTTTGTATTTCTCATTAAAATGATTAAAAAATTATCAAAATTACAATTTCACATACTGAAAGGTGGGGTATTTCGAATCGTTTCGAAAGTTTCGTTTGGTATCCCATACCATCTTAACCGTCGCCCGATCATCGTTCGCTGGGCCGCAGTTTGTTTTTCAACGTCGTCCATCGTTCACAAAAACCCAATTCCTAAATGTCGACCGACCGACAACCGACCTTAAAAACTGTCTGCCGATTTTCGGACGATGATCAAAGGTTGGTCGATTGACTATTTAACGACTGCTTCAATTGAAGGAATCGGCCACCGACAAAAATTATGACTTGGCACGACTGACACAAAGTTGATCGGCAGATGAAAAAAGAGGTCAAAATCGGGCAAGACAACGGCAGATGAACTGCCAATTGTCGCCTGAAGAATCTTTTTTTTTCGCCTAAAAAAGCCGTCTGCCGTCGATCGTTTTTGTAAATGTGACTGGGGTTTTAATCAGTGATTTTCCACTTTCGAAAAACAATGCTCTCCTCGCCCTTTGAGCTTTCCTGACAGAAAAAAACAGCAATTATTGTATGATTCAACGATAAAATTGTTACAAAACTTCTTCTCCGATTCTTTGTGCCAGAATATTATGTTCACTTGAGTGGAATTCAGATGCAGGTGAAATAACTTTCAGAATTATTTTCAATCTATTTTTAGTTCAATGTAGGAAAAATAAATCCTTGTATTCACCTGGAAGGTCAATAAAATGGTATATCTTTAATTATAAATTGAAAACATTAATTACTTCAATATACACTGTATAGAAAGGTTTCCATATTAATTTGACAAATGTCTAACTGTTTTAAAGTGGATTTTAAAAAAAAAATATTCCTCTTACATGTATGTATCCTATTCCCAGACGACCATGTTAACAGACTTGAATGTACATTATACTGGGATTCTTCTTTATTACTTCTATATATGTGAAAAGAAAGTAGACCACTAGCGCTGTATATAAATAAAATTGAATGCACATTATACGATTGTATATTTTTGTATATTTTTCAGACATGCAGAAATTTTATGTCCTTCTTGTTTTTGCCACGTCTGCTTCATATTTGAACGTTCTACTGACCATATACGACAAAGACCAACAAACAACTAAAGTGTCTGACAAACGGGATGACTTCATCTTTTTTTAACGTCAACTTTCCTCATTTATGAAATAATATTCCGGTATCATTTGCATATAATGTTTACGTCTACCAACTTATTCGATACCCAAGAGCACGATTAATTTTTAAATCGAGGCAGACTACTGACAGATACATTAAGTTGATGTTACAGGGATTTCAACAACCTCGTTTAAAGTCAGCATTTCGTAAATTCAATGGTCGTATCAATGACCCTGTCAACAAATATGACCCATAACTGGGTCATTTGTTTGTCCCTTGTTTTTATACTGAATTCTACAACAGAATGTCCCGTTTACCTGATTTATTCTCAGTGCTCACGGCGGGTGTGACGGGTCAACAGGGGATACTTACTCTTTCTATGCACCTGATCCGACCTCTGCAATTTTCGGGGGTCCTTTTTTATGCCCTGCTAACAGAATTGTATTGTTTGTGGATTTTTTTTTTAAATCATCACTGTTCGTTATCTTCACCTTTTTTTCATTAGGAAATATATTCACAGTATGTCGTTCTCACGAGATATTATGTTATTTTCGATACATTCTACCTCATTTGCACGACTTTTTATGTCATTCAAAATATACATATATATTACATTGCATAACTTTCTGTATTTATTTCCGAAAATTTATCTCATCCCTTTTTTCTTCATTTTTTAAAAAAAAAAGTTGATCCTACTCAAAGCATACTGATTACTTTGGGAGAAATGTTTACCGAGAAAAGCCAGAGCATCCCGCTTGTCTGTTATTTAGCTATGAATGTCTATAATCAGTCAAATATCCAAATATGAAACAAATGGAAGACAGTCATAAAGGGAAATTACGTTAACAGTTATAACCAATAGTAACCATTTTTCGATTTTCAATATGTGCTTAGAACACAAGAGGCTTGAAAGAAGTAAATATGCATGTAAATGTAATGCTGTTTTATTACATTTTAATTGCGCGTTCGTCCAGTGTTGGTCAAAAGGGGCATAAAGAAGAATAATAAACATTGAGGTTCAAACCTTGGCATCAATCCCTGTTATAAATTTTGTATCATGCACTCTGTTGGAATAGGGGCCATTTTTCAACGAGGGTCAATTTTTTATAGGACAAACACATAAAAAAAAAAAAATGACCCTTAGGGCTCTTTTTCTACAAAAAATCATTTTTTTCTACGGCTGGGGGGTCATTTTTTGTCGTTGAAAAATGGGGGTCATTATTCGTCTTTACACTGGCAACAGTATGTACATGTGCATCTTTTAAGCTGGGGAAAATACAATCTGATTAAAATACAGATCTCTTCATAGCGCAAAGCTTTGCGCTATGAAGAGATCTGTATTTTAATCAGATTGGGGGAAATATGTACCGATAGGCGACAATATGTGCAGTGAGAGTAAGTATATATTGTCACCGACGACAATATGTACAGAACAACAATATGTACCGTCACCCCCTCCCATTTTTTGTTGTTGTAAGGTCGAGCACTGGCATATTCCGGGATTTGGACGGTAAATAAGGTTTTTGGTTTTTTTTTTTTGCTTGTTAGATAATTTTGGGAGGTTGCCCCCCCCCCCCCCCCAACTTTCGAAATTTGTTCAAATCATGACCCCTGGGTGTAGGGTGGGGCAGAAATGGGGAATCAAAGTTTTACACAGGAATATATAGAAGTGTTTAAAAATATTTTCCCAGAAGCAGCAAAGCCATGATTAGTCATAATTAGAAGAAAGCATCTACAGGTAGTGTGGATTCAAGTTTGTTCAAATCATGACCCCATGGTGTAGGGTGGGACCATAAAAAGTGATCAAAGTTTTACACAAGAATATGTAGGAAAAAGAATCTGATGTTGAACAGAAGGACCACTTTCTCAGGTGAGCATTGTGGCCCATAGGCCTCTTGTTCTAAGCTAATGTTAAAATCTCTTTCAAGAGTCAAGAGTGTCTCATTAAGCAGGAAAAAAGGTCAAATAATTTTCCTGTGATCCCACCAAAGAAATTAAAGCATAAAAAAATTTCATGTTTGTTTTAGGATAACCTGAAAATTGTTATCTTGCGACAACCATTGTTGACCAAGTTAAAGCCAGGTCAAAAATTGTTTTCAAGTGATAACAATTTCACGTTACCCCCAAAAATTATGCAATACTTTATTTGTTGTACTAAAAGTATATGTATTTAGAATGAATTTAAAGGAAAAAGTCATGGAGAACTGTATGCACAAACATTCACTAACAATATTTATACTGTTACCTCTCATAATTATGCATTTTCAACCGTTGCAATGTAATGTTACCCGGAGAGTTTATGCACGTGGTAGGGTATCTGTACTTTTTAACAAATGTTTAAAACCAACCAAATTTCACCATTTAATATTAAAGCATCACAGTATGAAATAACACACCGTTCTTTAATTGTTTAACAAAGACAATTTCTCAGTGTTGTAGATTTTTATTTTACAACCAGGGTGTCAACAATAGAATCCTTTCAACAAAAGAAAGAAAAAAATAAACAAACAAAAAAGAGCTTGTGTCAGATTTCAATAATTTTGACTTTACAAAGGAGGTTAACTTGATGCCTCGTCAGTATTAGAATACAAGCATTTTTCCACATTATAAAATTTTTCTGTGCATTTAGTAAATGCTCAACGCCCCCAACAAAGTCTTAAATTGGTGCAATTTACCATATATTTTTGCATGACTACATTTGCCTAAAGACTCCTGATGTGTATAAATCATATAAAATTAAAGATAAAACACACAGCACCAATAAATCCAAACCAGTTATACATATTTGTTAAATAAGATATACAATAAATTAATGTTTGTTATCTTATACTGTCTTTAAACTTTTATTTCACATGTACAACAAATAAAAAGTAAAATGGAATAAAATCTTTCAATATTTAGATAAAAAAAAATGAACGCTTTTAGGTAGAAAAGGATTTTCAAACACAATGTTCTTCTTTAATATACCATGGTATGTAACTTAACATTGGCAAAACAAACACGCAGTTTTAACAAATAGAATTTTTTTCATCTGCTTCTGCTGTTTGTCTATCCAGCAATGTACATGTATATCAAGAAATGATGATGTTTCAACATGATCTTATTATACTTCACCGATGTCAAAATTTTCTTTTGAAATGCAATTCGTTGCTACATGGAATGGAAAGTCATGGACATATTGTTCCTTCGAGCAGATTACCATTCAATGATAAAACAACAGCAGACAATATCAATTTTAATTTTACATACATGTAATTAGCTGCTAAAACCTGCATCAAGTGAGATTCACATCCTAGACGTTGCTTATCAGTATATATACCTACAATGAAATAAATAGTCCACGATGTCTATAAATGTTATCACACAAAAAATTCTTAAAAATTCCTTGTTGCTAGCACAAACCAGAAATTTCTATGTAACTGCTGGGTACCTAATACATCACTTGCATGCATCATAACTTTGTTTAGGAAATATTTTGTAACTACCATGTCTAACATATACAACAATATACATTGTAAAACATGATATTCATAATAAATATCTCTTTGTCTAGCACTTTGTTTTTCACATGAACAAATTGGAACAGTTCTAACATTTAATCAACAATAATGGTATATAACTTATCCTCTCTTCTCAAACATTCACACATACCAATACAAGAAAAAAAGTCTAATAAAACACACATTAAGCAGTTGTTCAAAGCTCCATAACTGAGTAAATCCAACATCTCTTAGGAGTCACATGTATCTGCCCCTTACATTATTGTAATTCTGAGTCTTTGGGGTGAAAAAAATTTGCTTGTAGAGGTTCTCAGAAGAACTTAACATCGTCTTTGGATCCTTTCGACTCCGAGACAGATGAAGCAGAAGTATTAGTAGATAAATCACTTTCAATTTTGTTGAAACTTGGCACACTGGTTATACCTGAAAAATATAAATGACTTTATAACAACTTGCTCTTTATGTGGAAGTAATGAAGTCTACTAATCAAAAGTGGATTCATATATAATTTAATTCTGATTGTAAAGCACCATTTGATTGGATAAAAAATTTACTTTATATCATATAAACTGTGTTGCCTACATCACGACTTGCGTCAAAAAAGTATCGATCCTGATGTTGCATTTAAATTTGTACAATTTGAAGTCATTTTAAGGGTAATCATTTTCTTTTTTTACACTTAAATGAAAGAAAATTAATTTTAAGGAATGAATTTAATAGCTACCCAATTTATACGGTATAAACTGGGTTGGAACAGTTTACGCTATTTTATAAACCGTTCTCGGTTTATTTAAGAAATGAATATAATTTTTGAGAATTCATGAGGACTTGAACTACGATGCTTCACGCTGGCATATTTCATGAAGCCTGTTAGCGCTTTATGATAATATGCAGGTGTGAATCGTTGTAGTTCATGTACCTCATGAATTCTCGAAAATTAAATTCATATCTTATATTATTTTACTTTTTTTCTGATGACTTGCCACATAGTTTAAATATTCAACAATCCTTTTTTTAAAAAAGTTTGCACTATTTTTTTACTTCAATTATGTCAAAATGGAAATATTCTTACTCATCCCATGGTAGTTCATAAGAACAGGAACTTTCTCTAATTTGCAAAGAATCTTAAGGAAAAATACTTTGAAATGTAAATGTAAAACGGAAACCTTCCCAACCCAGTTTATACCGTATAAATTGGGTAGCTATTAAATTCATTCCTTATATAAAACAGTGTAAAACATGTGAGAGCTATGTTTAAAATGTGTTAAAAAGAATCTCCCATGATTTGTGGTTGGATATGATTTTTATTCGACTCCTTAAGTGTTTTTATTCCTTTGCCAAAGCTTGAAGATTAAAAAGATTACCTAGTTAGATAAAAATCATATCCAACCACAAATCATGGGAGGTCATATATATATATCATATAACAAACCTGTGATAGGCGCCAGCAGATCTGATTTAGCTACATCTACAGCGTTAATGATCCTCATTGTGTTTGTAGATCCAGATCCAGGCTTCCAGCCCGTGATGATGATGACTGGATCACCTTTCTGAATGAATCCACGGTCAGTTCCTATCTGGATTCCCTTGTAAATCCGACGGTCTACATCCACGGTCCACTCACTCATGACAGGGTCTGGAATTATAATATACATGTCATAATTAAGCAAGAAAGCACTGATAAAATATCAAATACTATCAAAAACAATTATTGTTTTAAAACAACTGTAACAATTTTTACTTGTACTTCAGTTATTTTTTGTTAAAACATACTATTCATAACTGTAAGAATTGTAAAATAATTTTGTATACAAAAAATGTTGAAACATTTTATTTTATCGAAATTTTTTTACCATTTACAAAATGCTTCATTTGCTTTTACACAAATTAACATTTCTGAGTACAAAAATAAACACTTCCAGATTAGAAGTAAGAATTTAAAAGTAAACTGTGACCATTATCAAAACAGAATACCATTTTCATACAAACAAAAACAAAGGTAAGAGTGTTATAAACAGTAACCAAGGCAACACAGCTAGAATGAGTTTGGTGGCTGAAACGTAACTAATGCAGTGAATACTAGCATTGATGCAATGAAAATAACACCAGAAGGGGAAAAAACCATTAACAGTGTTGTACTTAATTTTTTTTTTTTCAAACTGGTGCTAATACTGTATTGACATAAATACCCATATTAAAACTGTGGATTTTGTCATACATTGTACAGTATATCAATTAACTTACATTGTATATGGTGGAAATCAATAGTAAAGAACATGTAATTGAAATTACTAAATAGAGTTTTTAACTTATGCATACCAGACTCATGCAAAGATAATGAGCAACAATCATAAACATGTTTAGAGGTGATCAAGCAACATTCCCTGAAAAAACCTGGTGTTGTTAGTTTAAACAGCCTTAAATATAACAGAATTCCAAGTTTGACAACTCAAATTAATTATTTTTCCCATGGGAAAGTTTTACATTTGGGTCTAAAGTTTAGTTTTTAAAGTCATATCAAAGCCAGCAATATATTTTTAATGAGGAAACTGGGCAATTTTTTTCATTTCATCCTTTATTTTGTAAAAATACCTTAGGATATAAATAACAGACAAAATGCAATAAATTATAGCAACGGACTAACAGAGAACATATAGGGCGATTGTACACGTAGATAACAAAAATTATAATGTGTTTGAAATTCATTGATTCAGAAGTATTTCCTCATTTTACTCTAAGTGCTTAATTTTTCTTTAACAATCCTTTTTTTGTCACACAGTTTTTTCAATATTTCGAAATCTTATTTCATAATTCCCTCTTCTAGTTTTCAAAATCTTATACTGTAGTAGCCCTATAGATGGGGGACACAATATCAGTACTGAATTCTATTTTTAGTCATTATAGTCTTTGATGACGGGGACCCCCAGAATGGGTCCATCGTCTTTCTCCGGGGCATTGATAATCCTCAGAGTGTTAGTGTACCCCGACCCAGATTTCCAGCCAGTCACTATAATGATGTAATCTCCTGTCTTGATGAAGTTTCGTTTCCGGCCAAGGGCCATGGCTTTATAAATCCTCCTATCCATGTCATCAGTCCATAACTCATGGCGAGGCTCTATATACAGCACAAAAGCATGATGGGATACATAAAGCAGACAAGGAAAGCATAGCGTAGTATACAATAGAAAGCATAGTATAGTACATATATAAAGTATAAGCATACAAAAAGAGCAGACAAGCAAGACATAATGTTAAAATATAGCAGAAAATTAAGCATGCAGACTGCACTATATAATTCAGAAGTACAATTTTCAAGTATGAGTAATACAGAATGATCCTAATGCAACATAAACCTATTTGTGTGCCTACCCCCCCCCCCCCCCCCCCAAAAAAAAAAAAAAGGGTTTTAAATTATTTTTTATTCAAATTAACTTAACCTAAGGTCATAAAGCAAACTAAGGCCATGAATATTATGCTTATATCTAATTGGAAAAGGTTTGGATCAAAATACATGTACTATTTTCAATTTGTTTTATTTCAGCATAATCTGAATAGTGATAAATAGTATAAATTTATTTGAAACATTTTTGCACGAAAATCATACTTTTGCAAGCTGAAAGATTTCAAATTCATAGCATGAGCAAGATTCCCCACTTTGGTGAAGGAAAAAGCCTCAGAGGAAACACACACCAACAGACAACAACTTTTAAAATATACATCTACTACAGTCCCTGAAACGTTCTACTTTCCCATTTTTCCGTTCGCTCACCGTTCGTTCACCGTTCGTTCAGCGTGCGTTCACCGTTCGTTCAGCGTGCGTTCACCGTTCGCTCTCCGTTCACAGTTTTGCGTTCACCGTTCACCGTGCGCTCGCGTTCACCGTTCACAAAGCGTTCACCGTTCGCTCTCCGTTCGTTCACTTTGCGTTCACCTTGCGTTCAGCGTTCACTTATCGTTCAGTCTTCAGTGTCATTCGGAACTCCGAAGTGAAAGGACTTATCTTTTTTAAGTAAGGATTTACGGGTTTTTCTTAAATAAAATAAATAAGATATTTGATAATCTACATATCGTGTTTAAAGAATCATTATTTCACGGGGAAAAAATTATCCACAGTATTTTAAATTATTATCATTTTTTTTATTATTATTCTAACTTAGCTGTAAGGTTATTTATTAATTTACTCTGATGTTGTTATAAGTATGTACCAATGTAGAACGATGCTGAAAAATTAAATATGGGCAATATACAGATACTTCAAGCACTGCAGCATTTTGTTGTTATGTTAAAGAAGACATCGTTAATGGAGAGACAATTATCCAAGTCAAATAATTACGCAGCTAAATTACGAAAAAAAAATTATTTCTAACATGTTTTTTTCTTTCAATTACCACAGAAACATATGAAAACTAGTTCTGAGAGTCATACATAGTACTGCAGATATCCTGTTAATTTAGTATCTTTGGAGCGAAAGAAATTGATATTGTGGTTAAAGGAAATATTTATTTAAAATGTAATACACTACAGAATTTTCTCTACTGTAATATAAAAAGTCTATAGTTATAGAGAAAAAAAATTCTTCCTTCACCGTAACTTTATATGTTTGCCATTCGATATGATTAACACTCCCCCCTTTTTTCCCCTAAATCGTTTACTTAGTCAGTATTTCCAGTATATTTTAATTAACATTCAAAAAAGAAGTTAATGTGTTTTGTAGCACAAAAATTTCAGTCTCAAAACAAACATGCATCTAAAAAGTCACTAAACAATAGTAGTCCAAAATGTACACGTGTCGGCGGTGATATTTTAAATTGGCATGCAGACATGTACAGTATGTTTCAAATTCAAGTGTTAATGCCCAGTGTATTTTAATCATTTATTTATTATTGAAATGTTGGAATCAAATCTAGAAATGATAAAAATAAATGTTAAAACTCGTTGGAAATACTCGCACTTCGTCTTCGGTGTGACGAGACTTTCACTCCTGCACAGTGTCGAATGATTTTGATTGACAGGACAAGCACGTGGACTTTGTGTGAACTTGAAGGAGGAAAACAAAAACGAGTATGACTGTTAAACAAATGGATGTTTTTATTTAAAAAAGTTACATTCACTGTCTGATATATTTAGAAAAAAAAATGAGAATTTTTGTTTGATATAGGTACAAACATTTAGTGAAGCCTGAAAAGGGGGGGGGGGCTAAAACGGATTCTCTCTCTCTCTCTCTCTCTCTCTCTCTCTCTCTCTCTTTCTCTCTCATTAATTTTGTCTGTTAAATAAAATCTATGACAGCATACTACATAAATATCAAGTTCTGAAAATTTAATTTATAACAAATAATATGAATATGCCTCTTTGTATTATCATGTCCGAGTTTAATCACGGGGAAATGTCTACAGGTACATGTAGAAGTCTTTTCAATAAATCATTGAAAATAGAAATGACACATAAATATATTATTACATTAAAATTTAAAAATACGAGTGTGTTTATGCGATGTGTCCACTGGCCTTTGTAATTAATTTTTTTTTTTTTTACATTATTTTGCACCAAATCGCCTTGGCACGGAAATATATGAATGGATGTTACAACCGTTTTAATTCATTCTATAAGTCAGAAGTTTTTCTCTCCTTTGTAATGTTTTTATTTTTATATCAAATAAGAATAAACATATTTATTTTCCAACTAAAATAATTTTATTTTTATACTAAAGCGTTCGGCAGCAATTGCAATGTTTTACAGTGATAAAAATCGTGCGATTAAAAATTTAATTTGCATGCATCGTCTTTCTTAGGACAATTTTGGAGCAATTATTTTATTTATTTATTTATTTATTCATTCATTCATTTGTTTATTTATTTATTGATTTTTTGGGCACCTGACATAGAATACAATAAAATAGTTTCAATGCAAGGGAAAGATTAGAGGCATTCCGAATAAATCGTTCATTTTGCGTTCAGCGTTCGTTCACCGTTCACTTTGCGTTCGCGTTTGCGCTCCGTTCGCGTTCTCCGTTCGCTCACCGTTCACCGTTCACACATCGTTCACCAATTTGCGTTCAGCGTTCACACATCGTTCACTCACCGTTCGCTCTGCGTTCGTTCAGCGTTCGTTCACCGTTCGTTCAGCGTTCGCTCACCGTTCAAGTGGGAAAGTAGAACGTTTCAGGGACTGTAGTTAGTCTAGACTTTGTAAGTAATTACATCTACATACTATGTTACAAGGCATTACATACATGTAAATACAACAACTACACTACATAATATAGGTTGCATCACCAAAACTGCTAGGGCCCAGACTCTTAGTACTGAATACTTACCCACATAGTGAATAGGGAAGATCCCCCTGAAAAGATGACACTGTCTGGCTGTCTGTTCTATCCTTGTGATGGCAAGGATTGGACAGCGAGGTCTGTAGGCCGAGATCAGGTGGGCGGACCTATCAGTGAACAGCATAATTATAAAACTGTGTGAATAAACATTACTTAAAACATTTGGAAGATCATGTGGGCAGACCTATCAGTGAACAGTTACAGAGGTGTGTCAAAACATGTCGCTAAACATTCACAAAATACAGAATTGAGATCCGGTGGGTGGGCCTATCAATGAGCAATATACAGAATTTGTGTCAGTATACGTTACATTACATTTATGCAACTAAGATCTGAGATCAGGTACGCACACCAGTGAATAGCATAACAAAGTGTGTCAACACGCATTATCTAAAACATTTGGACTACAAAGAATTGAGATAAGGTGGGCAGACCAATCAGTGAAAAGCATTTTAAACTGTGTGAATAAACATTACTTTAAACATTTAGAAGATCAAATGGGTAAACCTACTAATAAATAGCATACAGAACTCTCTTAATTCAGATTAAAAGTATCTGATACCTTATTCCAATACTAATTAATGAAAAATAACAATCTTGGTATGCAATAATACAAAGTGATGCTTCCCACAGACAAGTTACTTCAAATAGGAAGAGTACCAGTAACTTAACTTTGCTTTCCTTTATTACTGGGTATTTTGTTTTCATTTTCCCTACATCAAGTAAAATTCACATACCATCAGAGATCATCTTTAAAAGATAAAGATCAGTTTGTGAATTTCACTACATAATGTCCACTTAAAATCAAGAATTGTGTACTTTTCATCCAAAAGAAGGACTCTGACACTTCAAGTTTGAGACTAAAGATAACAAAGACCTTGTCTGTGCAATGAATGTCCTAGAACAATTATAATACAGAATACAGACTTTAGAACAGTACTGTACCTTCCTGATGTTGTGATCACAATAATAGCAGCTGCCATACATTTAAATGAAGCCTCTACTGCTGCTATGGCAACAGTGTGGGTGGCGTCTGTGGGGGTGGGAGTTTCCTTACGTAACTCCTCAAACAGCTGATGATGAAAAACAGCAGACTCCGCTTCTCTACAGATCTGAAATATCAAAATTATACAGTAAAACACACTTATAGGGCAGGACCAGGGACAAACAGTGGACTCGGCTTCTCTACAGATCTAAAACATGAAAGTTATAACAGTAAAACACACTTATAGCGTGGTGCAAGGGACAAAGCATTTGATTTGTTGTTATATCCAATAAGTTTATAATACATATATGTACCATTTCAAGCTGCAATGAATGAAAATCACATTGCTGTAAGCATGAAATGGTTTATATAAGCATGTTTACTAAACCAATGTTTTACTATAATTGGAGTTATCAAGCACAGGTATATTTAACATATACTTTGAGCCCAGTACAGAGATCAAAAATTTCTATCTTGTATCTTTTCCATTCAAAATGAGGAATTAAAGCTTTATCCATGGGTCTGACAGTTAATTCATCATTCAATACTAAAACTCTAGCAAAACACAAACCTTCTGCATCATTTTGACAGCTTCTAATGGGTAGTCTCCCTTAGCTGTCTCCCCTGACAACATGACACAGTCAGCTCCATCTAACACTGCATTGGCTACATCACTAGACTCCGCCCTGGTGGGGCGGGGCTTCTTCACCATTGATTCCAGCATCTGTACATTACAACAATATAATTAACATGTACATGACAATCTAAATTTCAACAATAGTAATAACTGCTGCAGGCCTGGACTTTTTTTAATATCAAGCAGAAAGCTAAATACTCATGTTTTCTATCCATTTTTTTCTACAGGTACATATCAACAAATCATAACTTCCATAAAAAAATTAAATTAAAATACATAATTTGATTTTTGTCTGGTAATGTGTTTGTATATAAATAGACATCTTATTGGAGAAAAGTAATCATTGTTGTGTGCTTTCTCATTTCAATGTGACCACTTCTTCCTCCAAACCTCAGAGGACACAAACCTGTGTAGCACATATTACAGGTTTTCCGGCCCTGTTACATCGACCAATCATCATCTTCTGGGCCAGAAATACTTTTTCTGGTGGGATTTCTATACCCAGGTCTCCTCTGGCCACCATTATGCCATTAGACTCCTGAAGAATTTCATCAAATCTACAAAAAAAAAACAACAAAAAGAATTAATAAATAAATATGTACCTGTAATCATAGACATTGAGACAATTGAATAGAGCTATATCTTCTTGAACATGTGAATTATGGTTCATGTTTATGTTTTTGCTCATATGTTGAGGAGAGCAGTGTACTGAACTCTTACCAAAAATAACCACATATACAACACACTTAATATACCGAAGTGTCAGGGACAAACAATTTTGATTCCTAAGAAATGTAATTTGTCATATTCAATAAGTTAATACTACATATTAAAACTATGAGGAATGAAACTCACTTCACCTAAAGTATAAATTCATCAAAAGTGAGTTTGCTGTATTTCGTGTTTTACTGTACACACAGTTATGCCAACAGTAATTAAGCTTCTATCTGACCTTTTGACCCCCTCATGGTTCTCAATCTTGGCAATAATTCTGATATTCTTTCCCTTTTCTCCCATGACCTTTCTGATGTCCTTGATGTGTTGTCCACTTCTGATGAATGAAGCAAAGACTATGTCCACCTACAACAAAGATTAAACCTGTGTAATGGGAAACAGATATTACTTAATAAAGTTGAACAATGGCATCTTGAACTTTGACATCTCGAATACCATGGATAAGTTGGAAGTGACGTGGAAGTTCCAACTACTATTTCTCTGTGTATTTTAACCTCTGTATCTCAAACCCTCAGATATATAGGTCCCATCATGTTCACAAATAACAAGGTTTGACTATCCACTTTGTGATCCCCCCCCCAACCCCCATCCCATTTACTGACAACCTTGTGATCTTAACTGAAGCTTATAAGCCATATAATTCTTGGCTAAGAACTTTTATTATGACTTTATGTCTTAAACTGCTTTTTTTTTGTTTCTCACCTTAAGTCTTCCATAAAACGTTCCCCTATAACACCCCCCCCCCCCCCCCTTTCCCACTCCTGGCTTTGAGAATTTTTTTTTTGATGATTCTCCATTTCAGGTATTCCCTTCTTGATATGTGTCCCTATGATTTATCCCTTGAAATGATCACCTCTTCTGTTCCTCTTTTAATATTACCTTGTGGTTTCCACCTCAAAATGTTCCCATGATTTACCCCTCGAGATGTTCAGCTTATTCCCCAGTAACTGAAAAACTTACCCCTTGTTCAACTCCAAAAAGTAAATCCTCTTTGTCTTTTTCTGACACAGCGGGAAGATCCACGGCTACACCTGGGAGGTTACATCCTTTCTTACTGCCCAAGTCACCCCCATTCTCCACCAGACAATTCAGAAAATCAGCACCTACATTAAAATCACATTTACAGATACAGTAAAACACACTTATAGTGAACACGCTGATAACGAATTGATAATTACAGCAAAGTGATTTTTATTCTCTGTGACTTTAACATACATTGTAGACCTTACAGATATAATGAATTACACTTATAACGAAACAAATTCATCCATCCCTGGCACTTCATTGTAAGCAAGTTTAACTGTTAGGTGAAAATCAGCCGCAGATTATTGTCAAGGCTTCATTATAATCATTATTTTGCTAAATGCATCTTAAGTTTTGAAAGAAACCCTTTCTATGAAGCAGTATGTGCAAAAAAAAAAAAAAAAAAAATTCCAATACATATGTGCATGAATTATTGATTACTTTACTTGCAGTTTGAAATTTGTACAAATACATGATTGCAGAAACAACTGTTTAGTTTGGGATTTAATACATGTATACACTGTACAACTTAGTAATTTGTAGCTGTTTCTGCAAAAAGGAGCCTCTCCACTTTTGCATGAACACCCTTTGTCCTAATACAGTCCCTGAAACGTTCTACTTTCCCATTTTTCCGTTCGCTCACCGCGTTCACCGTTCACAAAGCATTCACCGTTCGCTCTCTGTTCGTTCATTTTGTGTTCACCTTGCGTTCACCTTGCATTCAGCGTTCACTTATCATTCAGTCTTCACTGTCATTCGGAACTCCGAAGTGAAAGGACTTATCTTTTTTTGTAAGTAAGGATTAACGGGATTTGAAATTTAATAATTCATATATCGTGTTTAAAGGATCATTATTTTATTGGAATAAATTATCTACAATATGTCTTATTATTATTCTAACTTAGCTGTTAAGTTATTATTTAAATGTTGTTATAAGTATGTACCTAAGTAGAACGATGCTGAAAAATTAAATTTAAAAACGGGCAATATAGGGGTACTTCAAGCACTGCAACATTTTGATGTTATGTTAAAGACGACAAGTTGTTAATGGAGAGATAATAATTCATGTCAATTAATTTAGCAACTCCAGGAAAATTAGAAAGAATTTATTACTAACACGTTTTTTTCAATTATTATAGAAATACATTAGTAGTACTAGTTCTGAGAATTATAAATAGTACTGCGGATATCCAGTTAATTAAATATCTTTGGATTGAATTAAAATTATAGTGTGGTTAAAAAAAATATTTTTTTAAATGTGATATACTACAATTCATATATAAATTCTACTACATGTAATAGAGAGAATTCCTTTCTTCACAAAAACTTTATATGTTTGCCATTCAATATGATTAAGACCCCCCACCCCCACCCCTTTTCCACGTAGATGGGTCACTTAGTCAGTATTTCCAGTTTATTTTAAATTAATATTCAAAAAGAAGTTAACGCGTTTTGTACCACAAAAATTTCAGTCTCAGAACAAACATGCATCTAAAAATCATTAAACAATAGTAGTTCAAAATATACACGCGCCGATGGTGGTATTTTAAATTGGCCAGGGAGTATGTTCATATTCATTGGAAGTGTTTTTGCCCAATGTATTTCATTTATTTATTTATTGGAAAAGTTGGAATCAGATCTAGGAATGATAAAACATGTAAAACTTCTTGGAAATACTAAAGTGTAGCACTTTGCCTTTGGTGTGATGAAACTTTCACACCTGCACCGTGTCGAATGATTTTGATTGACAGGACAAGCACGTGGACTTCGTGTGAACTTGAAGGAGGAAAACAAAAACTGATTATGACTGTCAAACAACGTGAATTATTTGATAAATAAAAAAGGTTACTTTCACTGCCTGATATATTTAGATAAAAATTAAGAATTTTTGTTTATACAGGTACATGTACATGCATTTGTGGAAAGGGGGGCTAAAACGGAACCTCTCTCTCTCATTTGGGCATTTAATCAAAACTATGACACGTATTACTTAAATAACAAGTTCTGAAATTTTAATCTGTAACAAATAATGTGAATGCTTCTTTGTATCACCTTGTCCGAGTATAATCACGGGGAATTGTTTAAGGAATCACTGTCTAGTTAGTAGAGTATGCCAGGGCATCAACGATAGTTGGAAACATGGGATAATTTGCATTTATTATCCCACGTTTCCAACTATCGTTGATGTCCCTGGCATACTCTACTAACTAGACAGTGATTCCTTATATTTCCATTTCATTTTAAAATAAAATTGTAAATTTAGATTTTAAAAATGTAGACAAATAGATTTAAATTACACAAGGCCTCACATGTCAATTTCAATAGTCCCCGCCCACTGACCTCAACCACAAAGACAGCCGCACGAGAATTACATGCATATTTGGCCTCCTTAGAGTCAGACACAAAGACAGCCGCACGAGAATGACATGCATATTATGCCTTCTTAGCTACTGACCTTTCGCTTGGCAAAATTTGCATTCCGTTAGAATGATCAAGAAATCAACTCTCCTAACTTTCAAAGAGTTATCACAGAGAAAACAAATAGAAATGGAAATATTTATACATGTAGATACATGTAGAAGTCTCCTGAATAAATCATAATTTAAAAAAATGAAAAGACACATAAATATATTATTGCATTAAATTTTTAAATACGAGTGTATACATGCAATACGTCCACAGACTAGCAAAATATTTTTTTTATTATTATTTTACACGGAACTGCCTTCACACGGAAATACATGTACGGTTGTTACAACCGTTGTAATTCATTCTGTAAGTCAATAATGTGTCAAAATCGTGTGATTAAAAAGTTGAATTACACATCATACATATGTGCAGAAATTATTGTAAGAAACTTAATATGTTTTACTAAATGTGCATGTTTCATCTTTCTTAGGACAGTTTTTGAATATTTATTTATTTTCCGCCTGACATTAGAATATAATAGAATAGATACAATGCATGGAAAAGATCAGAGGCATTCCAAGTAAATCGTTCATCTTGCGTTCACCGTTCACTTTGCGCTCGCGTTCGCGCTCCGTTCGCGTTCTGCGTTCGCTCACCGTTCACCAAGTTGCGTTCAGCGTTCACACATCGTTCACTCACCGTTCGCTCTGCGTTTGCTCACCGTTCGCTCTGCGTTCGTTCAGCGTTCAAGTGGGAAAGTAGAACGTTTCAGGGACTGTAAGTGCACATGTATATATAAGACCTCATAACCCCCTCCCCCCCCCGAAAAAAAAAACAAAAACAAAAAACTAAGAGAGTAATTCATAATTCTATATGTTTACTTCTGGGACCAATGTTAACTTAAAAGCCCCCATTAGGCATTTTCGTTTTATTTGTCATAGGTAAAATTAAAGAGTATTACTCCACAGTTTCCCTGTGTCACTATTAAAGATTAATATATTTGAGTACGAGCTCCTGTAAAAACAAAGGATTCATCATGGTCTTCACATTTGTATGTATAAATATTGCATGTAAATGAAATACAAACCAGCTGATATCCGCACTCTTTAAAAACACATTTCATTTTTACTTAAAGGTTTATTTAACCCCAGGTTTACATTTCTTACATTATTGAAAGACACTTTGTTTTTTATTTACATGTTAACGTAAACATGTAATTTTGTGATTTACAGGTTTACACAACTTACCCATCTCCTTGACAATAACTGAGATGAGGCCGTCATCTATGTACATTCTGTCCCCTATAGACATGACCTTGGTGATATTTTTATAGTCCACCCACAACACGTCCTTGCTACATTTCTCTTTGTACTTGTCATCTGTGGTGATCTTTATCTTGTCCCCGGCATTCAGGGTGATCTCAGCAGAAGCCCCCTACAACATGTCAAAAAATTTACAAATCTCACTCTGTATGTTTTATAACTTATTGTAGTCTGGAAAGTGTTGGGTCTTTATATACATGCATGTACATATGTACAAGTTAATTAAGTCATTTTAAAATGTACTTGTACATGTACTTGTACATTCAGGTTTACATTTGTATATTTATTTCTTTTCTAAACTATGAAAATTTCAGATGACAGATGCTATAGAGGTTTTTATGAAATCAAAATCATTTTTACTTTATTTTGTTCATGCAGTTTCCCAAGAATGTGGTCTGCCTTCTATGTACATTCAGCTTTAATCTTTTATGGATTGGAACTTAACAATATTGGTCATTGATAACATTGAATACAATGGGACAGTTTTAGTTTATTTAATGTGAGTACTTAATATCATATCACGAAACAATTACCCCATAGATGTCAAATTGCAGGAAGACAAATTTGCGAGTTGACAGTTGATCAAGGTCTTTTACATAAACTTCAGCACTATTATTTAAAAAAAAAGCAAGTCATTTTATTTTGTGAGTGTTGCTTCCCGAAAATTAAGTGAAAATGAATTCCCCGCGTACACTGTAAACCAACTTTGATTTGCAAGTGAGAAATATCCTGGAATTTTGCAACCTTCTTTTATTCATGAACATTTCTTGTCGCAAACCAATTATTTGCTATTGTATTTATGTAGAATTTTGCCTCAGTTGCGAAAATTACTAGTTAAGGGTGGAATTAAAACTGAAGTATCGCTAATAAAAGATGACGCGTTGCTTTACAGTATTTAGGAACTAATCTACAGTATAGCAGCTTGACAGTAACACATCAAAATCAAGGCTCGATTAACACAGTTTTTTGAATAAGAATTGTAACCTACTCCTTCTAACAACCCTGTTCTGATTTCAGGTCCCTTGGTGTCCAGGGCGATGGCCACAGGTCGGGGAGAACTGAATGCACTCTTTGCTTCTCTGATGTTTTTTATTGTGCCAGCATGGTACTACAAGATTATCACAAATAAATTATGGTCACAAAAAATATAAAGTGTTGTCAAAACTGCATAAATTGGAAACCCGTATGTAAAATTTAAAGATTTGTGATAACTTCAATTTACAGTGAAACATGTCTAATCTGAATGTTGTTTATTCCAAAATTTTGCCTTATAAGATGTAAACTTGAAGTCTCTTTCAGTAAATTCACTAGATTAAAATGTTGTCATATCTGGAATGTTGTCTAATCTGAATAATTTATATTACACCAGTGGTGTCTGGATTAGGCAAGTTTTACAGTTTATAGCAGTGATATAAATATTAACAATTTTACAACTAAAACAAAACCATGCGCAGGACAAAAAACATTAGTTTTTTAACAAGATAAAATCATTTACACATCTTATGGTATACAAAAGCTGGTCATCACTGATGAAGATGCTGGAATGCTAAGAACAGTATACATACCTCATGAGTTCCATGTGAGAAGTTGAGTCGTGCAATATTCATGCCCTCAATAATCATTTTCTGCAGCATACTGACTTCACGGCAAGCAGGACCTGTCACAGAGATAACACAATGGGAATCAGTTTTTAAAACATGTCCAAGAGAGGAAAATCTTGCATTCAATTAATTCTCAAAAAATAGTCTAGATCTGCTCATGTTAAAATGCAATGTAATTGACACAGAGAAAGAAAAAAATTCCTGACTTAAACTTTATACTCAACAATTTGCAGAATCAATAAGATATTACTGAAATAAAACACATTAACAGTAACTGTTATAATTTTCCCTAACACCTTTATTATGGTTTATCGATACTCTAAGAGAGATAACTCTGAATGACATAAATTTCTATTATTCCCTTATAAATTTGTCAAGTTGTAGTGTCTTTTTTGTCCAATTTTGCCCTGCAAGCTATGTTATATTTGTTTGTATTATGATTAAAAAATACATTTCTTTTGGAAAATCATAAGAGTTAAAGAAACATTTTATATGAGTGAGCAGAGGGTTTATGAACTTACCAATGGTACAAATGATCCCTGTCATTCGGACCTCGTGGGGCTCCGAGTCGATGTCGAGTTTGCACATGTGCTCGAGATGTGACATGGCATCGGCCGCCTCGAGTTGCTGACACTGACGGTAATACCCTCCTTCCATCTCCATCTCCTTCAGGTTAAACTGCAACAGAGGAAATTCTAAATAAGTACATGTATATATGTACATGTACATTACTACATATGGCTTACAGGAATTTTAAATAAAGTTGTGAAACAGAAGATCTATCCCACACAGTTATATCATTTAGAATACAAGGAGTTAAATTGTTTAGTGAGTACTAAAAGTGTATTAATTCTTATCTTTAACTGATGATTGTAAATGGTGTGTTGCTTCAATTTTCTGTTAATTCATTTACAAATATGATCAACCTGTGCTTTTAAAAAACCAAAGCCCTCAACTCGGATTTCATCTTTTATTTATCAAATTGAATATACTACAAAATTACCAACAGTGAACCTTAATTTGATCTCCTAAATGTACTTGCTGAAAAGAAATCACCAAGTTAATTGTAATCACTGACATACCATTTATATGACATGTATAATTATTTAGTAAATTAAATTTATACTTACAGTGCAGAATGCATAGTTCATGCAATTAAATTAAATTTCCCTGACTATTACAATATATATTAATGATGTACACTTAATTGCATGTGTAATAAAATTGAAAGCATATGCCTAAATTAATATGACAATTGGGCTGTGATGAAGCTGAAAATGTTCAGATAAAAAGCAAATTCAAGCATGCACTAGATGTTTGACAGTGTTTGGACAAGACATACCAAACTCTGAAAATAAACATGAAATGTCATCTGCAGGATTTAGAAATCTGTCATAACCCTTCAATGATTTGTCTAGCAAATGTCACGAGTATGTTATTTTAAATATTTAACAAAAGTCAAACAATGGCCTTTGAATGTATTGTAACATTTATTACTCACATGATGCTGAAAACCATAAGCTTTATCATAGTCTAGAACCTCCACTCTTGGACAATTCATTTCCAGACACAAAATTGCAATTAGTTATGCTGGAAATTTCTGAGAGCTAGGTGCTTTATTGCAATTTTTTTTCTTCTAATGGACCTCTTTCATTCTACTGACATTTCCTGTTTTATAGAGTTTCTAATGCTTGCTTTAAAACACTTTGCCAGATCTGTTGCCAATATGCCATTTCTGACATTAAAGATTGAAAATTGTGTACTGAGCAAGACAGATCAATTATATGTTCTGAAGAAAGGATAACAAACTCTTAATGATTTTCTGCTTTTAGTTTCAAAGTCGTATAAATTCGTAACCCTGAAGAAATTTAAAGAAATTACCTTCTGAATCCTTAAAAAGAACTTCAATAAAGTCCAGTAAAACCCAAATAAATCACAATAGTGCTAATTGTAATTTCATCAACAACAAAAAATTGCTGTAAAATCAATGTACATTATTTCAACATGGCAATGTCCTTCAAAGGTGAACCTGCAGCGAGGCACCTTTTCCATTGACTCACCTGTGATTAATTTTATCCCTCGCAATAAAGTTTGACAGGTGGGATGCCGAAGGTAAACATCAAACACCACTTATAGCGCCACTTATAGCGCAATGATTTGTCATTGTAGAGTCCGAATACACATAGGTCGGCACACACAACCTTGATATTGCATTAATCTTCTCTATTAAATCTAGGTTATCTAAACTATGTTGCTCAATAATTTGTACTAGCATATCAGTTCAAGGTCACGACTGGACGATGGTCAAACCTTAACTGGATGTAAATTTATTCAGATTTTCCAGATTGAACTTTTTTAAATGGGTCATTTAACACTGTACTTGTATGTATGCCCTACAGACATGATCAATGGTGCAGAAGAGGGAGTTGAAAAGGTCACTGGAAGTGTATGAAAATATTTTAGGTGGTCACATGTGGCCTTTCCTGTTTGTTTACAAACACTGGAAACAGTGCATATAGTTCAAGCATGTGGACACTGTGAAGCCAAACTCCAACTAATAACTTACACTAAATAAAACAAGTCAGCTTATTTGGCTAGTACTTACCATGCTTATAATCAAAAGAATTTTTTCATCTTGACCAAATTGCAAAAGAGGTGACACATGAAAGATGGCCATGTTCAGATGTTTCACCCATAACTTACTTGGAATATATGAATTCTCTGATACCTTGTCTCTTCATGAAATGATTCCTGACACTAGAATATTTGCCACTTAACCCACTTACTTCTGGGTACCTCTGCACTAATGGATTCTACAACTGTAGAATGTATGTACTACACACAAGCTCTGATAGCACACACATCAGATAGCATGGATTGACCTCCATCTGTTCTGTCAGTTAATATAACAAACTACTCCTGGACTCGGTAATTATCAACAGATCATTGGACGCCTGCATGACAACCACCACTCCAAACTCAATCCCGGGGATTACATACCTCACACAATGTCAGAGTGGAGGGTTATTATAACCCTGCAGCTCATTATTGGTTTTTCTTTCTTTCTTGCCCCTGGTATCAGGTACTGTGAAAATTTATTTCATGTCACTCAGGTACTTGAAATGGAATACATGTACTTGGGGGAAAAAAAAATGGAATTCCCCTTTTGTCAAGTAAGTATCATAAACATGCACTTGATTTTTTTTATTGATTTCATAATCTAAAGACATTTTACTATGCTGAGATATTTGCAACATTAACAGATTCATGCCAAAGACTTTATATTTTATCAGTTTAAACATGTTAAAATGCAAGTCCATCATCAATATGTATACTATACTTCTTTCATGAATATTTTTCTTAAAATTTGAGACTGGTGACAGGATGAACTGATTAAAATTAATTACAAGATGAATTAGCTGAGTGATATATAGTGACAGTTTCAATTTTTACTGATTTAGTATTGAATATTTGGTTACTCATGTTCAGGAACATTAGTAAATATTTGACTGTGTACACCACTACCAAGTTTTTCATGCTTAAAGCAATACAGTCTGTAATTTGTGTAATATATTTGACAATGTGGGTGATTAAAGGGCAGAATATAGTTAATAAATGTTCAAAATGAGTTGAATTGCAGGTAAAAAATGACTTATTTAATTTCTAAAGAAAGTTCTCAATGACATTAATTTCTGCACTTTGGCACACTGCGATATCATGCACAACACAACATTTGACATTTTCAATTTTTATAATATATTTATCAGAATATTAAATTAAAATAACTTTGGCTAGAAAGTCAGAAAAAAGTGTGACTGCCACATATTTTTTGATGTCAAAATATCAACAAAGTAACAAACCTTATCACTTTAATGTTCACAATGTTCCTTAATTAATAACTAATTCACCACTTTTTGTCTATAACCCTCATATAGAAAGTAGTAGATCTTGGCATGCAAGGATCCCCTAACATATACAGATCGACATATCACCTAAAAAGTAACAGTAGGATCATGTTAAATAATTAAGCAAAATATCTGGGGTGGATCCATGCTTAAAGGGAATGAGAATCAAAGAATATATTCCCTTATCTTTATTTCTGAAAGACTTCAGGCTTTTAACAGATCAAAATGATTTCCAGAGCAGTGATTGATTCAAATTATACATGTAACTTATAACTAGATTGCAGAATTTAATTGATTAAAACATGTAAAATATGTTAACCATGAACTATCTATTCACAAACTTCATTCATGATTCATCAGTGTGAAATCCATCCATAGGTATCAATTTTTAATCCAGAATAGAGAAACATTCTGTACATGTGTACATGTCAATCATAAAGAAAATAATTTGCAGCAAGAAATATTCACAAGTAAAGGAAGGCCTTTAACTTGCAGACATTTCTTGCTCCTGAATAAAAATTTGGTTTACAGTTTTGCAATTGGCCACCCTTTTGGATCCACCTCTGACTTGCCCTGCTCCCCATGAGTAAAGCTAGAATGTGCCAGCTGTTGGGTATGTGAAAACTAAAGAGGGAGTTAACTATAGTAATATGCTTTGTGGTCAGTAAGACAAACCTGGGGGTCTGGGGTCAACAGTGTAGGGACGGGGGTCTGAAATGAAAGGCATTATCATGATCTGATATGAAACTTCAATGATATGAGTGACCCATGAGTCACCATATACTTATGCATTACATGTATGTATACATTATGAATCATATTTATAAAATGACCAGTGAATAAAATACATGGATATTAAACAGGGTCATGAGATGTTGTCAATGATCAGTAAATCATATTGTTCATTTGTGTGGTTTGTGAAAAAATTATGAACATGATGAAGATGATACAACTTTAGGTCATTGCATGTTTAGCTTGCTAAATAAATTATACAAATCTTGACTTACCTAACATGCCTAAGGTACATGTATATTTAAATGCATGAATTTATGAATATATGGCAAATATAGCTAAACTTCTGTGTCTGGAACACAGAAATATATAGGGTAATGTCAAATACCAAAGAAGATGGTCAGGCATATCATAAGTTAAGTTTCAATGTTGATATCTTAATCCATGAAATATCAGATATTTTGATATCTGAGTCAATTGGCTATCTCTAATTTTTATATAGTGAATCCTTGGATAACTCGGATTTGTGTCAGTAGTTTGTAATGTTGAGATTAATCTAATCAAGTGTCAATGTCCTACTGCACTTGTATATAGGTACATGATGTAAATAAAGATAAAACAGGTCTACATATGGTACCTCCATTTTTTTCTCAATTAATTCAAAAATACTTTTTAATGCAACAAAGCTGGTGGTATATATTCAAATTGAAATGCTACATAAACTTTATAATCTATTATTAATAAATTTTATTGTTATATTAAATTAAATTATTTAAGCATTTGACAAAGTAATTAAGCTTAATAAGCAGTAATTTGGAATCCATATTTAAGAGATCAATCATTACATCATGTTACATCTAAAATAAATATTTACATTTACTTTTTTTTTTAAAATTCTTCCTTAATCCTGTGCTTTTTGTATCTGGTTGCAATGTGATAGATATATATTTGATATCATAAGTCAAGATCAAGAATTAAAATAAAGTCCATGAGCATATTATATACTAGGCATAGATGCATTGATTTCTCATTCACTTATATAAATTTCCTTGATGATCTGCATGATGGAACAGGAGCAAAATCATTAATTCATTTTCTGAATCAACAGGTCCTAAAAGAAATATAAAGGTACAGATGTGTACACCATATATATACAGCCTGAAAAGAAACAGGCAAAAGTATGAAAAGATCCTAGAAAGTCTATATTGACATTCAAAGATGCTTGTAAAAAAAAATAAGCCATTTGAAAATGGAGAGACAATCTTCTTTTATTCTCTGTGCAGGTACACATTTTTAATCAGTTCTTGAAATGTTTGTAATATATATTAAATTTACATTTCTAACAGTGAAGACTGTAATGTGATATGGTCTCTTAAGAAATTATAATTTAATATACCGGTATATAAAAATCATTTAGAAGTGAAGTCTAAATTGCAAAAGACTACATGACCGTGCTACATAATAGAAGATTGTCTCCCTTTGATTTGATATGCCTGAGTTTTAAAGCTATTCAAACCTCTGGTTCTACAATAATAGGAATTTCCTGAAATGTACATTTATTTATAATTATTGTAAACATTATATAAGTACATTATGCTGTACAGTATTGTGTCAAATGTATTTGTGATTCTTACATATGCTGTTAATAAGCTTAATGCTAATACATATATAATAATCATGATTATCATATATTTATTTTAAAAAAACACTTTATATATATTATTTGCCTTTTTTTAATTACATAAAAATTCGCTTGGATCACCTCATTCCAATTTGAAAATATACTATGAATTAAATAATTTAGTATCCAAAAAAAGAAAAAAAACAAAAACAAACAAACAAAACAAAACAAATACAAAAACAAACAAACCAAAAATACCATGAGACAAAAGCAGATGACAGCTGAGAGATTTTTTTTCGTCCTTGTAAACAACTCTTACTCATATCCTGATTCTGCTTAGGTGCTTTTACATGTAGTGTTTTTTTGTGTTTACATCTTGTACATTTATTGCAATGTTGTCGGTCAGTACAACACATTTTCCTTTTTATGAAAAAGTTACATTAAAACAATTAAATGTTCTTTGTCCTGTGTATACATGTAGTAATCATGCTTTACTATTAAACATGCACACTTTCAAGATCAGCTTTTAGCTATACATGTGTTCTGAAGACTTTTGTTCTTTCTTTAATTTCTATTTATTTAATAGGATTTGGTAATTTGAATAAGGCATTATTTTTTCTTTCTTTTGTGTCTCAAAATTAAATTACAAGTACATGTACTAGCTAGCTAATTCAAACTCAAAAACGTTAAAATATCTATACTAGTCTAAATGTATATTACTCACAACCAGTATATATGCACATTAAAAAAAAAACATTCTTAAAAGCCTGGGCTTATCAGATAAAAATAGAATACATGTAGCCTATAACTTTGTACAATATCTATAGTCTGAGAATCAAGAAAATTGTTAAATGTGAAGTTCTAATATACTCACCCCACTCCCCTGGGTCTTTGCAAGGTGTTGTGCCATCTGCAACATTGACAAAAATATTATTTTTATATTCTACTGTCATATACTATGATTTCTCACTGTTGTAATATTTATATAAATTAGAATAAATACATAGTTATAGTCTTATAGATAAAAACAAATATTTCTGTTTACATTAAGTGGTTTACCTTAAGACTTTGTTTTTGTTTGTATAACATGCATAAGAAACACACTTCCAGATGTCCAGAGGGAGAAATTATTTCCTGTTCACAGGTACAAGTGTGTTATTTCAACAATACTTGTGTATACTTTTGATCTGTTCAATACGTCTATGAACAGAAGTATTAAATAATATTTCACCAGGCAATATCTTAATAACCAACATCCTACTTTCACGTACTAAACTTTATTTATGGAATAAAAATATCCTTTTGTATGCATAAGGTTATCACAATACTTATAGATTTATGTCACATCATGACTGTCTAAAATAAACAATTGTAGTTTTACAAACATGCTGAAGTTCTTAATCTATAAAGTGCAGATGAAATCCCCACAACACATCACGAACATTATTCTTTAGAATACTACAGTCATTCTGATTGGTTTAAAGCAGACATATGCAGGGAGACAATTCCTGATGTCTCCCTAAGCGGTGGTGAAAACTGTGTTGTTTCCCTTTAGATGATAATGAACTAACACAGAATTATGATAATAAAATGTCTCAAGTGAGATAACTCATATACATGTATAACTTAAATTTTGCAAGATCAGCAAACAATTAATTCTAACGATGATGTCGATGTTGACAAATTTTGAATGTATGGAATCAGAGCAGTGGGTAGGAGAACACAAGAGGTTTGACCGATATTTTCTACTCTATCTTAATAAATGTAGATTCTTCAGGATAATTTAAAGGGCCATAATGGCCTGTTTAGAAGAGAGACATAAAAAAATTATCAGGTCTGAGTAGGGTTAAATAACTCACTGATTGCTTGTTTAACTCAGTAAGAGCAGATTCAGAGAGGGAACAGTATAAAACCCCCTTGGTATCCCCCCATCCAGTGGGCTTCATCAGTTGCCTTTATTGGGACAAAGATGCTGATTCTCAGAGCAGAAGTACACTAGTACTGGACCTGCTGAGAATCTCAGCGGTACCAGAAAGCCAGACCTTTTACCATCTTATAGTACCCCCAACCTCGGGCCCCTCCCCAGTAAAATCCTGGATCTGCATCTGGTCAGTTATATTACACCTTATATTACAACCTATTAGTAAAAAAATCCCCTGATAATCTATCTATAGGAAGTAGAAAAGTTACTGCATTGCTGCAGATAGTTGGTCAAGATAAATTAAAGACAACTTGAGACAGTGGGATTCGTAACTAACATTTATCATTATTTCTGTTATTGCCTAACAAGTAAGCTCCTCAACTAGATTTGTACTTTAGTTAAAGTTAAGATGGATAGATTTTTTATAAAGATTAGATTTTTTTTTTCTCTTTCTTTATGCTGAAATCACAGGGGCATATGCTCCAGGCATATTAAGAAAATCGCAAGAAATCAATAACTTACAACTAAACTCTCATTGATGTATTTTAATTATATGATTTTTTTTTAAAATAGTATTCACACACTGGGAACAATTTCCGATGCCCGGAATCGCGAGAACAAATCTCAGCAACGGCTTAATATTGAACATTGCTTGTGGTGGTGATGCCTAGAGCCATATTTCGACTTTGTTGCTTATAGGTTTTAATTAGGCTAGTATACGAGGATCAATGTTCTGTATTTTAGGGTCCATCCATGGAAATATAAGCCTGATTCAATGTATTTTTTGCACTTTCTTTGTTGTTGTTTCAAATGAGTTAAACTATGCAGAAGCATGCATTCATTTAGTGATCAGTGGGGCTAACCGGTTAATGTAAGTTTCGGTATCTTTTAACATAAACTCGGTTTAATGCAAGAGTTTCCCGTCTGAAAACTGTTGAATTAGTAAAGTCCTTAAATTATTTTACCTTGACAAGTTGCAATACTCGTCAAAACACTAGGCCTACAGAAAATAAAATCCAACCACTGTCGATCACCTTCAGAGAACTTGACCTTAACCTTTTTTTCTTTTTTTATTTCCGGGAAGACTATTTTCAAACTCTAAACAGGAATTTTTTTCTCCGGAATAAATAAGGATGTATAGCTCTCTTATCGTTGGATTAGAAAAGTTACGAAAGTAAAATAAATACGAACATTTTGGTTAAATTCTTGAAAAGAAGACATTGAAGAATTAGAAACTAATTAATCTCCAGAAAATTTTAAGATATACTTATGTAGAAGAACGCTATTTGTAAAAATTAATACACACCTTTTTCTTCGTGTAAACAACGCTGACTTGTCTTTGGCAAGTACAAAAAAATTGTGAAATTTTCTGCAATTTACTCATTCAGCAGTCTTAATCACAAATAGATTATTACGTCATAATTATATAAATGACGTCAATGCAACAGAGGGGTCTCATAAATTTCCAATCATTAATTAATATCAATCCCTGATATGAGAATATTTGTTAAGACTTATCATCAATGGGGGAATAAACTGACACAATTATTTACTGGTGCATGTTGTTTTTTCCTTTGATGATAGATTTGAATGGGCCTTCACAGTGGTAAAGAAGAGATGGAGACAAATTGGAGTAAATGCAAACTATCAGGCCAGGAATCGAACCCCTCAAATCGATCTAGACTATATCAGAAGCTCGACCACCTGAACTATCTGACCCCCGCCTTCAAACCTGATCGACTGAATTCCACATTCATCCCTCTTTATGTTTTCTTCATAAAAGACAATAACCTAAATTCTTTTACCTATGGCAGGAGTTGAAGGTCGCTTGCAACTCGTGGTCAATGGCACCTAATGTAACAGGGAGAAAATGCGCCGACAGACCAGACCAGGAATCTCAAACCGAATTTAACCTTAAACTGAGAACATACTTTTAAAATAAAAAATAACAATTTTCGGAGATATGAGAATGAGATGATAGCTGCATGTGGGAAAGCGGAATCAGAGAAAGGGAAAAATAATTTTATTGAAATGCATATTGGTCACGTCAAAAGGTCTATCCATGGTCGAAAAACAAGTATTTCTTTAAGAGAAACTGAGCGGACAGTTTATTTTTCAGTTGTGAAACTTGTGTGTGGCAAAGATTGTACAGAGCCAGTCAATTACCTAATAAACTAAAATACTAATGTACGAGTTAGGGGACGACCATTTTGAATCTGAAAGGGGGGGGGGGCTAGCAACATTTTTCGAGTCAGATTATTTATTTCCACGCCAATCAAGGACAGGTCATTCATTTTCAAGATGAACAAGGACAGATTATTTGTTTTCTTCTTCACTGTATTAAACAGTTTAACATTACAAGCAAGAAAAAAGAGGAAAATTGCCGAACTCTTAAGTATATAATTCTCTTCAGATCATAGAGAACAAATCATTTATTTTCATTTCATTCAAGGACAGAACATTTATTTCCAACATTTTCGATGACAGATTATTTATTTGCCAGCCCCCCCCCCCTTTCAAAATGAAATGGTCGTCCCCTGAGACTTACATGTAATCGAAACAAAATTGAAAGGGAAAGGGAATACTTCCGTTTCGAATGTGAATGAATTCTTGCGCACATAGAAAAACTTTATTAGTTTAAAATATATTTATTCATTACAAATGAAATGGATTGAACGACAGGCATAATGCCAATAATCGTTCTCTCCATAGGTCAAAGTACATATAACAATTATTGGTACATTTAACATTGAAAAACAGTATGTAAAATAGATCATTAATTGGTACATATATATGGTGAACCCAGAGTAAGAGAGAGAGAGTAAAATAAAGAGAAAAAAAAACATAAAGTACATTTAACATTGAAAAGCAGTATGTAAAATAAACCATTAATTGGTACATGTATAAAGTGAATCCACAGAGGGTGAGAGGGAGAGAGATCAAATAGAGAGAGAGAAAGACCATAAAAACATAATAAAGTTGAATCAGAGTGGAAAAATTTCCTTAACATACCTAAAATGAGATATTATTCTTCCTAGCATATCATGATAAACTAAGATTTCAGTGAAAACGTCTTGAGTTTCTTATAAAGGTATGTACATGATCAAAAAATGAAAAGTTGTCTTCTAAACATAAGGATTCAGCACCATATAGTATATATTATCTATATTAATTGGTATGCCATTCTCATTCATATATTTAATCAGCATCTGTCTTTGAAGAACATATTGTGGGCAATACATGAAAAAATGTAATGAATCTTCAGTTTGGTATCCACAATTTGTACATTTTGGTGAATCATTAAGGTGGTTTTTAAAAACATCAGCATTAAGGTTACTTCATTTATTTCTCAACTGGCAATGTAGTATATTTTCAATTCTATTCCCATAATTGTACAACTTTACTTTATTTTTCTGGTAGGGATTGGTGTAGGTTAATCTTTTTTTTTTGAAATTTTGCAATGTAGGGGAAGTTCTACAATCATCAGGTAAATTATTCCATAAGGATATTGTGGATGGTACAAAACAATTATAGTAAGACACTGTTCGAGTGATTGGGATACGATATGAGTTTGGGTTGCGTAAATTATAATTATAGTGAATTGGCATACATCAGGGGTAAGGTTATTAAGAATTTTATACATCAGTGTGAGCTTATGCTTTTCCCTTCTTGAACTTAAAGTTCCCATCCCAACTCCTTATATAGGATTGCACCTAATGCCTGAATGTAATTATTCTTCCAGCTTCCACCTGAACACTTTCCAGTAATTTGGATTGTTCTTCAGTGCAATTATCCCATACCACATCCCCATATTCTACAACTGGTCGAACAAATGATAGATATATTTTGATTAACAAGTCCCTTTTTTAATTTATATTTAAGTGTACGCAATACATTTAGTCGTAAGCAAGCTTTGTGTGAGTATATAAAGACAATACATTTAACATTAATTAATGAAAAAGCTTAGTGAATAATAGGAACCTAGGTTGAACCCGAACATATTGTTGACTATATGATTGTATACATAGAAATCAATCAGAACGATATAAAGCTGTATGCCTATAAACTGTATGTAAATATTCTATCCTTTTCTCGAAACAAAGCGAATTTTATACGGATCGGGTTGCAAAACAATTCCAGGTGCCATTTTCTCAGGTAAAAGATCTGGAAGTGTTTCGTCCTCTTGTTCCAGGATTGAAAAGCTCTGTAGAAGTGTAGCTACAAACAGGAACATCCGGGACTTAGCAAACACCTCACCGATACAGCTACGCTTTCCCAATCCAAATGCAACCATCCTTTTTGGAAAAATAAAAATAAATTGGCATTTATTAAAGTATTTTCTAACCATTATTCTATGAAAAAATAATACATATGAAAATACATAGGGCTCTGTCAGATCTAGAACTGCTTCACTAATATGAGCTCAGAAATACATGTGAAAATCATGAAGCTTTTGGACGAGAATTCTTGGAAGGGCTCGGACATTATAAGAATCTTTTCCCTGTTTCAATTGTATAGGTTCATACGACTTAAATGTGCTCTTCTCTTGTAGCAAGTGACGTCTCAATATGAGTGAAAAAAAATTCTTTCTGGGATTTCAAAAGAATCTTGTATTTAATTTCACATGTACCTTTTATGGTTACAAAGATCTTTTAAATATTAGAATTATATTTAGAACATTTTTATATACTCTTCCTTTCGGAATCAATATCCGTAGATAGGATACTGATCCTGTAGCATATTTCTACATACCTTGCAGGGTCAGTATAGAGTGAAATATAAAGATAACGAACAGTAATCAAGATAAAAAGTCCATTAAATCAGTGTAATTTTGGAGCAGAGCAAACACTGACTTCTAAAACATCAGAGGTGGGCTTAGGTGCCACGGAAGAGTAAGCATCTCCTGTCGACCGGTTACACCCGCCGTGTGTTCCTTGTCATGATCGAGTAAACGGGGAAATCCGTAGATAATTGCGTGAGAAAACAATGGTCTAACAATTTGTACGAAAAACGTCAGTCAACTTTCGACTTAATGATAGATTGGATTTGTTGACAAGGACATTGTATCAACCATAGAATATGAGAAATGTTGACTTTAATCGAGACTGTGATATCCTTGTTTCATCAACGTATTTGTCAATAGTTTTCGTCGTTTCAGAAATTGTTCGTACGTAGAGTAAGTGGGAGACATAAACGCCATGTAGATTTTAACACCTTTCCATGTAAAGGATACTGATCCTGTATATTATTTCTATATACCGTAAACCAACTATTATTTGCGTCGACTTTTATTCGCGATTCGTCAGTTTGAAATCAATCTGCGACGATTAATTTTTGCGACTGAGGAAATAGTCTCTACAAATACAAAGCAAAATAGATGGTTTGCGGCGATTAATATTCGCGAGTTAAAGAAGGTCGCGAAACTCGCGAAAATTTCTCGCACGCGAATTAAAATTGGTTTACAGTACCTCTTCTTTACAGGATCAGTGAAGGGTATAACAAACTTCCGTAGATAGGATATTGACCCTGTAGAACATTTCTACATAACCATTCCTTGCAGGACTAGTAGAGGAAAATAAATTTTCACATAAAGGATACTGATTCTGTAGAACATTTCTACATACCTCTTTCTTGCAGGATCAGTAGAAGGTAACAAACTTCCATCTTCCTGTAGGAACCTCTCAGGTTTAAAAGTAAAGGGGTTTTTCCATTCTTTTTCATTATGAAGTGCAGTCCAAATATTGCAAACAACCTACAGAAATGAATTATATAGCCTTTATACAGGAACATTCACTGTATTTATACAATATATATATTTTTTTATTCTTTATGCATGTATTGCTTCATAACTTGAAAGGTTTGTCCAAATATTAAAGATAATTTATAAATCTATCATTTTTAAATAACCAAACCTATTCTGAAATGGAGATATCATAATTTACATGGTACAGCACACGAAAACAATTGCTGAAAGGTGAATTATGTTAGAAATAGACACACCGTGGTATCCTTCTCAACGAAGACACCATTGACCTCTGTGTCATCAAGTGTGTAATGGAAGGAGATGGGAGCAACCGGAATATAACGAAGTGTTTCCAAAATCACGGCTTCCAACAGGTGGCACTGCTGCCTGTCTTGTAAGTGTAGATCGGGTTTCCTAGCAACATCAATAACATTGTCGATTTCTCTTTGTATAGACCTCTGGAGGTCAGGTCGTTTTGCCAGAATTTGTATAAGAGAAAGCAGAGTCCCTCTTGACGTTAAGTATGCTAGTATAGAAACATTCATTCAGTCAATCCTCGTTATCTCAAACACGATGAAGACAAGAAAAAACTTCAATATATTCGAAGATTTTGAGATATTAATTGATGTTAAGAAAAAGAGGTTGGGACCTCCAACTTACTTTGTGATATTCGAGGTGTTCGAAATACCAAATTTCAATTATATTTTAATCATTGAGTTTTTTTGTGTATATGTAAATCTCTGAATTGCATCATCAAGTCTGTGCAATGCACGTTTGCTACACATTGAAGCAAAATAAGTATTTATCCGTAATAAAATAAATCCGCTGATTGTGAGTATATAAAACACATCTATTCAGAAGTGTCAGCTTGATCTACCTGCCGCGACGATGTTGACAATTAAACTCCACAGGTTAACTTCATTGAACCACCGTTGCCCGGATGTATCGCGTTCTTGGAGCACTTTCTTTAGTGACTGATATACACCTGTATTTTCGGGATGATCATTCTACGTAAAAAAAAAAAAAGAAAGCAAATGACTGTAGTTTGATACTTCTTGTGAAAATAGCTGCTATCACAAAAGATGAAACAGATGTTTTTTTTTTTTGTAATCAGAATCTGAACTAAAAAATATCTGGAACTTTTTCTCTTTCGTAAGTTGATTTTTAAAAAAAAGTTACAGATACTCTAGTGACTACATGCTACTAGTATTTGAAATGAATGTTCTACAATATTAATTTTAATTCTTGTAAATGTATATATACACTTACAACATTTTAAGCACTCTCTTAATTTTATTTTTCAGTGAATACAATACATTTAACAACCAATAAATAAAAAAAGAAATCTAACCGATATTTTCTCTAGCATATCCATCATTCGATTCTTTGCTTTTCGTAGATCCTCTAGCTTTCTCGTGTGTTGAAGTGGAAGAAACCGGAGAAATGGAAACGTGTTATACATCATGTCAGGTCCCATATTATGGCTCTCATTGACGCAGAAGTCCAAGTCTCTTATTATCTGTTTAAGTTCTCCGTGCCTTCCTGAACTTTTCCCAATCAACTGTGATTTCACAACAAAACAATTGTGTTTATTTATATATATCACATCAGTTTAAGATACATCGATTGATTAATTTTATATGTGTTGTCAAACATCCAATTTGAGATCCTTTCACCCTTTTAGAGACGTGTCATGTCATCTAATTTATGTAGTTTGACTTATGTGAATACTCTATTTACTCATACAAAATTTTATTTTAAGCACGATTCTCTGAAAGAAAACTATATTTTATGATTTAAAATATAAGTAACTTTGAAACAACTTGCAGGGCAAAATTAACCAGGAAAGGCCTTTCAATTTGAAAATAAAATGAAAGATATTACTATCAGTTATTTATCAAAGTGACTTATCTCTCTTGTTAGAGGGTTAATGAAGCTTAAGAGAATGTAGGATGATACTGCATACATATTTATGAGAATTTACTTTACAAAGGAAATGTATGAAATTCATTAAAATAAAAAAAAATACATATTTAAGTTTTTCCAAACAGAATTCTTCGTGGCAATTTATCATTATTCGAGGTGACGTAAGTCAGCCTCGTAAGCTGCTGACCAGCTTCAATGGCGCCCCCCTCTGATCCCTACCATTTGCAATTTCCTATTTATCTTCACTCTTCAGGACAATTCACTACTCTTGATGTTAACACGTGATACCGTAGGAAGCAAGGATCAAATCAGAGATAGGTTGCTAATATGTAAACAATAGCACTTGCAAGATTGATTGGAAATATTTAAATGTTAATTTTTATCAATTCACTAAGAAATATACTCCTCTGTTTAGACATGCATTGAAATCAGAATTTCGGTTAAAAAACAAGATTGAAAATGTATTTAATGTGATTTTCAAGCAATAAGTAGTGTTTTCATAGATTTAAAAATACTAAATACAAGTTCCTGAGTGGGAATAAGTATCCCTACGCTCCGAACAATTTTAGCGGGGGCAAAATGTAAACAAATGGGTATGACAGAGATCGAGACCTACATACGTCGATCGCAGGCAAGACAGAGAACAAATCGTGGAACAAAACCAGCTGATAGAGACATTCTGCTTACTTTGAAATATGCAGTTAAATGAATTCAGGGATCAACATAGGGGCGACTGATGCGCAAAAGTCGCTACTGAGCTCAAAACTTTACTGTAAATTATCAAAAAAGCGAAGTTTAACATTTTCACCCCCTTTGTTTTGTAAATCATTTAAAAAAATTATCTGTTAAGAATACGTGGTAATATTCTCACTATTTTATAAATCTGTTCGGTGCTATCGATCATTGTTGAAATAGGTGAATAACAGCAGGGCGCTTGTACCTATTTCGCTGCTAATGACCACTTCATCGAATACTCGATCGGAAATCTCCAGAATTTACGCTTCTGCACACAAGACGCAAAATAACTGGACCTCTTTCGGTGTCACTCCAAAGATGTTGGAGATGAATTTCTACTATTTTTATTGTCAAATGATTAATTCATGCTGTGAACACAGACATTTATTTTAGAGCTATTAACTGTCCGATCAAACATGTGAAAAAAGGCTGATTGCTTGATAAAGTCGCTCAGTCGGCATGCAGTAGTAGATTTACTAGTTTTCATAATATAATAATGATTTATTATTCTTTGTTTTCATTTTATTAATAAATGCACATTCACAAAAAAGAAATAGCAATAAAAATCAAATGAACTTTGAAGAGAGTGTTACAAGTTTACTACTTTGATAAGGCTCTGAAAATATGGAGAGATGAGAAGACAAAAATGTTTTAATCTTAAGTGTAAATTCATGTAAATAAACTATGCAAGAAATTACATAACTTTGATAAACCTAAGTCTATCAGTTGAAAACTTTAGATTGACAATGTACGTATAATTTTATTTTCCAGGTATACATTTATATGCCTTGCAATTGGAAAATATCAAATAATAATTTTTTTTTAAATATACCTTTTGTCTTTTTATGTATTCTTAGAATATAAATTTATTTAAGGTACATGTATATACATTAACATGTATTTAATTTTTAAAGATTAAATAATGATCAATGTGCACTAAGAAGTCTCCGTAGAATTTAATCTTCTCCCTAAATTTCTCTGAAGGAGAAGTAATGTCTCCCTAAATTTTAAGTCTAGGTAAGTAGCAATTTAAACAGAATGCTGCGTTTCAAACGTGGTCAGTGGCATTTCCATATTTTTAAAATTGTTATTTCATGTTTATCAGTTTTTTTTGTCCCCTCGTTACATTTATGCAAAGTATTTTGATAGTTGTATCCATAATTTCCCTTCGATTTTGAAACCTTACAGCTATAGATTTTGAATTGCTGGACTAAATCCATCACTAAAATCATGGATACCCTAATCAACTGTCTATTTGATAAGTCAGATTTTAGAATGTGGTATGAATGCCTTTCTTTAAATATGACATTTTCCTACACGGCTGCTTCGGGCAGGTATCGTTAACTGGCGACTTGGATTTGGGGTAATTTAAAGTGAAAGAATTAAAATCAGTTTGGAAATTCAATTTTTGCTTTAAAAAAATAATATGAATGAAAACAATGGTTTGAATTCCATTTTTGCACTTCATTGGCATTACACATTTTTACAAGCACAATAAATGAATTTGGAGAAAATGACATTGGAAATAGTTTCAAGCAAATGCACAAAAGGGCTATTTACAATTATCGTGGGATTGATTTGGTTTTGAAAGCATATACATGTAGTAAAGCAATATTTTAGGAAAAAGGGCTATTGTTACATTTTGATATGACTGTCTTGAAATACGGAGAATTAGTTCTAAAATTTTGTACATTTTTGTGCTCAGAAGGAATATATGGAACTTTAGTTATTAAAACATCATTTTCGACAAGTGTGCTACAGATCTGAAGGTATTTTAGTCTATAATGCTTCACATGATTAAATAAAATAAATTATACCAACTTAGTTGAAAAAAAAGTCTAAATGGGCCTGCTTTTGCCCCCCCCCCCCCCAAAAAAAAAAAAATCAAAGAGAGTTTTTTCATTGTATTCAATGCTAGATGTATCAGTGATTAATTTTAAAGACATATGACAGGTGGTCCCCCCCCTTTTTTTTTACACATTCATATGGCAAAGATTCTTTTGTTATTATTTTCACATTTGTTTAAAAGTAACTAAACTAAGTTCATTTTTGTACAGATCAAACAAAATGCATTTGTCGTATTGCTCACTTTTTGCTTTCCAATGCATGGTTTTCATTTTGGGTTCTCTTGATGTAAGGTTGTGTATATATGCCAGATTACTTGGGGATAGATTTCACATATTACTTGAAGACGTCACCTCGATTTAGTACTTTCAGTACTTTTATTAATGATTCACATGTATGTAATTGGAAACTATGCGAGATAATAAATAAAAAGGAAAAACAGAGTTGCCAAGTATAATGCTAAATATCATTTATACCACGACTTACCAAAACTTCAATTGTTTCTAAAATGAATCTCTCTACAAGATCACTAGGATCAATGCTTTGACCTTTTAAGGTATCAATCTCTTCCTTCATAGCAAGTAAGTTGTCTTTAATTAGATGTTCAATCCGCACCAAGCCTTCGCCATAAGCGTTTAACATCTTGTACAAAAGTTTCCTTCGTTTTGTCCACTGCCTATCCGGCGATGAAAATACAACATCATTTTTGTGCATATAAAAATATTTTTCAACGAAGAAATCAGGTCGTCCGGCCATTTTTGTTGCGTTTGGCTCCCGGAGGAGAAGATCACGCATGATGTCTGACGAGTTAACGCAGACAAACTTTCTCCCAAGACACATGAACTGAAAAACGTCACCATAAAGTGTCTTCCATTTATCAAATGTAAAATGAAGGCGGATAAGGTCTAGCTCCAACAAAACTCCCAACACAGGCCAGCCCTTTGGTCCAGGGAATGGTTGCTGCTTTTGCCATCGAAGTAAAAGGATGATCAAAAAGTAAATAAGTGCTATCAAGAGGAGGTACAAAACGGTCATTTTTAGGGATTTTCAAATTTAACTAGCCACCGAGTTTGCCACGGGTATTGGTTATCTCTTAGTGTAATACATCTTGTCTGAGGAACTATGACACACAAAACGCGTCAAGATAAAGAAAGTAAAGGAAAAGATGCAAGGTTTGTGTTTTCATGATTTATTTACAACAAACGTCTTGAAAAAAAAATTAATCTAGTACATAATTATATAAAAATTAAGCACATGTCATAGCTTAACACAGAAAACATAGTTATGGAAACTATTTTTTGAAGAAAAATCCAATGTAGCTTTATCCCCCCTCCCCTCCCCCCCCCCCCCCAAATGCAATCGAAAGAAATCAAAATGCAAATATTGAGGCTATCGGTTTGTATCTAGATAAAAAGTTCGTATGTTAAGATTTTATTTGATTTTTGTTCATAAATATCTTAGGAACTGGTGTAGGAATAATGCATTTCATTTAATATTCTTTAATTATGTTGACAATACTGGCATACCGTAAAGTGACATACATAAAAGTGAACCTGTATATTACATAAAATTTTATACATTGTTCTCTTGCTTTCAAAAGCTTGAAACCTAAAACGCTGAATGAAACTAAGTAATCTTTATAGCCAGAATATTTTGTTACCTTTTCCTTGATAAAAGTACGATTTTGAAGCAAAAACAGAGTTCACATGTATTTTAAAAAATCCACAAATAAGGTAGCTTATATAATTTAATTCTTTGTCTGAAATTTGTTTTTTAAAAATGTAAGAGTACACAGAATATGTTTCTTTATTTTCAACATGATAAACGATATTCCACAATAAGTCAATTCAATCAAATAGTACCCACAAGAGTACATATGTTGACCCGTCATGCAGGCACGAACATACATGTATTGTCATTTCGGGAAGGGGGTTGTCTTCCTTTTTTCGAGAATAAAGATTTTCTATTAATCTAGAATGGAAATTGTCAATAAAAGTATGGTTTGAATCCACCACGAATATGTATTATTATATACCTCATTATAATTATTCTTTACACCGTGTCGTCTGATTGGTTCTTTCCAGTCACACTTTTCATCATAATCAACATCTTCGGATATCTGTTGCATTTTTCCGTAATACTTATCTTTCTTTGAACGAAAACTCTCGAGAGCAAGAAGGCGTCACAAAATCTACAAAGTTTAATCTACCAAGCAGTGACCAAATAGCGATCTTCCTTCCAACTTAAAACACAGAACTCGACGACAATAGACAGTGAAGTGTCCGAGAGACCACAGTACAATATATCAGTGACTTTTTCATCTGAAAAACTAAAAGTAAATTTGAAGACAAAAGTGAACAGCTTAAATCGTTTAAACAATGCGAATGAAGAACAGAATACTAGTAGAAAGACAGACCTCTGGAAACACCAGAGGCGGAGACAGGTTCCTAGGAGGTATCAAGCATGATCCGGTAGAGTGGTATTGATTAAGTAAACGGAGAAATCAGTAGTCAAATTTAGTATGAAAATAATGGCCAAATAATTGTTAAAACATATTAGTTTAAGCTTTCGATGCGATGTTGCTTCGTATGAAACAAGGTCAGTAAATCGACCATAAATTTCTGGAAATGCTGACTTTTAAAAGAAGACTGAAGAAAACCCTGTTACATCAACTATTGTAGTATTTGCTAGTAGTCTTCCTTCATTTATAAATCGTCGGTACACAGAACATGCTCTTGAGTACCAAAATAGACGAAAGACCTAGACACAATTTGTTGGTGATATATGTAATGGGATTTTTCTTGATAAATTTGAAAACAAATGATGGAGGGAGGGTTGAAACACAGTTATGTCATTACTACTTTAAAATCTTTAATAATCGAATATTATCGACAAAATTTAATTTACTTATACCCTTTCTATGTTGTCATTTTAAATATTTTCAAAAAAATTTAAAATATTAAGATAAAAACGAAGTAATATTTAGTCTATTGCCTTCCGCCAAAAAAAGTAACCAACGTCGTTATGACGTTACTTTTCGGGGCTATTGGTGCTTTGCGGAACGAAACGGAACGGAACGAAACTAGTTGTGGGGTACCTTATGGGGAAATAAAAATGAATGTAAAACTAAAAAAAACAAAAACAAATAATGTTATTTAATTAACATAAATTACTCCACAGTGTCAGGTAGCGAGCTGTAAAATAAAACGCCTGTAAGCTAGTTTATGCATTAATTTTTGCTGACATCTGTAGTTAATATGTAAACAGTATTGAACGATTGATATTCATCTATTATTGACGCATTCCTATCCAAATTTACCGTCAAGAACTTAGGAACATCGTTTATTTTGTTTCCTGACAAGTCTGTATAGTAAAGAGAGTTGTCGAATTTTGCCAGCATGACATGATTCTCTGGTTCCGTTCGCTAAATACCAATATCCGTGTGGATATTAGTATTTAGCGGAATGGAACGAAACACAGTGAAATTGAATACTTGTAATGTTACTCATGCAAGCACTCTGTTAATATTCAATTAAATTAAAAAAAAAAACCCTGTATATTAAATTTTGAAAAGCAATATGAAAAAGACAAGGAAAATTAGAATCAATATGCCTGATTTTTAATTAGTTTTTTGACTTTTCAGAAAGACTAAAATCGCACATGTACGCACATCATTTTTACTTCATAATTTGTTATTACATCTATATATTTATATATATTGTGGACCTTGATGCTGATAATAAAACTCAATACCATTTCTCAATCAATTAAAATATTTATAGATTAGTTTCAAAAGTATTGTGTAACGTTATATGTGTAATGTGTTATGGGCCGCCAGAAATGTTAGCTATTTCAACATTTATTGATATATTTATAAGGTTCAGGTTTACACTCTTTATATTTTCAAAATAAGAAAAGATAAAGAAGTCCACAACTGGTTCCGTTGCGTTCAGTAAAATACCAATTTCCACTACAATATTGGTACTTTGCGAAACGGAACGGAACCATATTGTTAAGGGTTTAAAACTGTGTTGATAAACGCCCAGAGATACTAGTATACTTTTGTGTCTTGTATGTTAGGATTTTATTTTAAAATCATATCTGCAGGAAAATAAATTTCTTCAGTAACGTGCATGTATAAAGAGAATATTATACATTTTTGTAAAAAATTTAATAAATGTTTAATTATTTATTTTACTTAAACATTTAATTTCAAGTAATATTAATTACGAAAAAAGAAAATAAAATTAACGATAGTCATATCTTGTTCCGTTCCGTTTCGCAAATTACCAATACCCACACGGGTATTGATATTTTGCGGAACGAAACGAAACCATAGGTTTCCTTTTGAAAAGAAAGAAAAATACCAAGAACTAACAAATTCTGTCAATGTGTGGTTTGAGATTGTTAAATTGTGAAAAAAGTGATAAATATGGATTTAAGTGATATTAAAAACGCATATTCATTTTCTTCACCTGTAACGTAAAACATTTTCTATGCCATATATTTTTGGTATTATTATGTAAATGTTATTATATGCATAATATATTGGATGAATGAAGTAGCGCTACAACCTTTAGGACAGTAAAATAAAATGCTTAAAAGTTCTAGCTTATACATTATTTTGTCGTGTGGGTTTTCATTTGATGTGACATCTGTCGTTATTATATATGGAAGCTGTATTGAATGATTGATATTACTGTAAAATGAATTTATTCAAATGCTTGAGTACAGTGCTAAAGAAATCTCGTTTATTTTATTTCAGTAAAGACAGTTGTTTTTGCCAACATTGGCCATCCTCTGGTTCCGTTCCGTTCCGCTAAATACCAATATCCATGTGGATATTAGTATTTAGCGAAACGGAACGGAACCAAATTACTCACTGTAACGTTTCGGGTTTTAAAGTATATATAAATTCGCTGCCACCAATTGTAACGTGTAGATTTAAGTGGTAGATACCCATGAGGCACGTTACAATAATGGGTTAATAATAACTGTACAGTCAAGTAGATTTAAATGAAACAAGTGTGATCATTTAAAATACATTTATTAAATTAATAAATGGTACAATAAATATACAGATTTTTATATAACGTCCCCAATCCACAGTGTGATGTACAATAATAATAATCACATTCAATTGTCACAGTTGCGCGTTATACTCGGTGAAAGGTGCTACCGTCTGAAGGTGCTAGTTGCTACCGATGCTATTGGAGCAAATTGGTTCTAGGAGTCCGGTGTTCAGGTGTTAGGTGCTACTGATATAAGCTAATTGGTTCTAAGTTCCATCATTACTGGTGCTAACCTTACTCGGTGTTGGGTACTAGGTCTGCTAAAATATACTTGGCTTAATTTCCGAATATAAATTCTCAAAGTGACTCGGTGTAAGGTGCAAGACTATCTAAACATAATTCCGTGCATGCTCACACTAAAGTCCACCACCACAAATCTATAACTTTTTTTTTAATCTATGTCATTAAAATGAAAAGTATGCCATGCAAATTTACCATCACCTCATATACATTCATGCAAACGACACAATTAATTCAAATACGGTGCACTGTCGTAATTCAGTCAAACGGTGCAATTCCACACCGAACTATAAGAATTGACTAAGTTTTATTGGCCAATTAAAATAGAATAAAATACGAATTCAAACTGCTAACAAATTACAATCTTTAAATAACAACTATAAATTTACTGGGAGAGACAATTTTCTATGTCTCCCAGGGTCAGAACCCCGAGTGCACCGACAATCTAAATATCGCTTAATTTAAATATTAAATAAATCTAAGTTTCTAAATATTCAGTATTACTTTTAAACTTGATGAATGTTTCTTACTGCACTATAACTTATAATTAAACTATTTAGAAATATCTTTACTTTAAAATGCTCACTTATATAAAATAATACCACAGCTATGCAAGGTGGAACTTCAAGCGGGATTCTGACAAACGCATTCTCAGAATCTTCTCTTTTATACAATGACGAAATGGTGCATCATCTACGTCATATGTAATTCGTAGAATTTCAAAAACTATTTTTTAATCAATGTACTTGAATTACTTTATTTACTAAAAAAACATCTATAAAACTCATTAATTAAACTATAATTTTTAATCTAGTCTAGACATCTTATTCATAAAGTTTTGTATCTCTAAGTGCACACGTATGTCGGCGTATGTAGCATCTTATCCGGAGATCCGTATTTTCTACCATACTGGTTCTACAATTAGTGCGTAAAAGCCATTTCCAGTAAGCATCCAATAAAATTGCGGTAATAATTCAGAAGAGAATTTCTTTTACTTTACTAAATCGTAAGACTGTAGAGACATTAATAATAATTCTTAGGACACTCTCAAAGTTCAGTTATGCTCTAGAGTCGCGGAGTAAGGAGTTGATCCTTACGTCGCGGGTTCGAATCCCACTGTGGGACGTGGAGACCGGTTCTTCGGATGAGACCGTATAAACCGAGGTCCCGTGTCGCAGTAGGTGCTGGCACGAAAAAAGGTCCCTCACTGCTCAATGGCCGTAAGTGCCGAGTATAGGACAAAATTTGCAGCTCTCTACCGGCAAGTGGTTGTGTCTCCACATGAGTGAAAAATTCTCGAGAGGGACGTTAAACAACATACAAACAAACAAATTTCAGTTACTCGTATAATCAACATAACCATAGACAAATACCGTCCAAAATGTAAACAATCATTCTAAGTTCTCTGTAGAGAAAATAGCCAGGCCCTATAAAAAATATTTTTAGACAAAATATAAGCTTGTAGTTCCGTTCCGTTTCGCAAAGTACCAATATTGTAGTGGGTATTGGTATTTTACGGAACGAAACGGAACCAGTTGTGAATTTGTTTATGTTTACTATTCTTATTTTGAAAATATCAAGAGCCTGAATCTGAACCTTAAATATATCAATAAACGTTGAATTAGTTAGCACATAATACATGTAATATGTCGGCCTATAACACATTACACATATACCGTTCGTCTTTCACTAATTTGTGACGGGGGCCCTTCCCGTCCTTTTGGTCACTGGTAATAATCACTTTCTTCATGTATTTACAAGTTTATTTACATATTTACAACACTACATGTAATAATAGAATACTTCTGCATATATTCACAGTCAAACTCACTCTCTTCCTTTCTCACGAGGCCTCCTCACTCCTTTCCACAAACATGAGATTCTATCACAACTACGACATCAATTTATTAACTCTTGCTTTCATCTCTGAGATTTTGTCCATTCAAGATAAACAGAAATCATTCACAACCCACAAACCTTAACTCTAACTAACTCACACGACACCCCTGGGAAAAGTACTGCAACGCCAGCACCGCGCACCTGCTTATCTTCTCTCTCTTCTCACTCTAGATTTTTTAATGGTCTACTAGATCTGAAAGTTTCATGAAAATGGAGCAAGATGTTTCTGAAAAAAATCGCTTGTACGAAATCGGTAAGGAAAAAAAAAATAAAAGAAAACAAATTAAGAATAACAAAAAGGTCTATCGCTGAAGATGAAAACCCTTAGTGAAGAATATGAACCTAGGTTGAACCCGAACATATTGTTGACTATATGATTGTATACATAGAAATCAATCAGACCAATATGAAGCTGTATGCGTGTAAACTGAATGTATATATTCTATTCTTTTCTCGAAACAAAGCGAATTTTATATGGATTGGGTTGCAAAACAACTCCAGGTGCCATTTTATCAGGTAAAAGATCTGGAAGTGTTTTGTCCTCTGGTTCCAGGATTGAAAAGCTCTGTAGAAGTGTAGCTACAAACAGGAACATCCGGGACTTAGCAAACACCTCACCGATACAGCTACGCTTTCCCAATCCAAATGCAACCATCCTTTTTGGAAAAATAAAAATAAATTGGCATTTATTGAAGTATTTTCTAACCATTATTCTATGGAAAAAATGCATAGGACTTTGTCAGATCTAGAGCTGCTTCACTAATATGAGCTCAGAAACACATGTGAAAATCATGAAGCTTTTGGACGATATTTTTGGGAATGCTTGTCCCCATGGGCTAGGACATTATAAGAATTTTTTTCCTGTAACAATTGTATAGGTTCATACCGTCTTAAATGTGTTCTTCTCTTATAACTATTGACGTCTCAATATGAGTGAAAAAAATTCTTTCTGGGATCTCAAAAGAAATTACTTTCACATGTACCTTTTATGGTTATAAAGATCTTTAAGATATAAGAGATATACTTAGAACATTTCTATATACCTCTTCTTTTCGGAATCAATTTCCTTAGATAGGATACTACAGTATCAACCAGACCCAACCTGACACCAAAGCAGTCCTAGGGACTGCTTTCGGACCGCTCTTGGACTGCTCTGGGACCGCTGTGGGACTACTCTGGGACCGCTTTGGGACTTCTCTGGGACTGCTCTAGAAAGCAGACCCAGCAGTCCCGTAGTCCATGGGACCGCTTTCTGGGACTGCTTTGTTCACTCAAAGCTAATTTTGGTAGAAAATAAACAATTCAAGTATAATTTTCTATATCAAAAAAAAATAAATAAATAAATAAATAAATAAAAAATAAATAAATATGAAAACCAATTTCAATCACAAAAAATAAAGAAATTGGTTTATTTTGGTTAAAATTAACATACTAAATAATTGTGTTTAGATATTCATGTTATTAATAGATGTGAACGTCTTCTTCATTCAATAATTATTATTTGTTTCTATACGCGTACTGTGATTTTCTTAACAGTTCAGAAATGACTGTCGCATAATTGTAAATATTTGTTGATACTACTCAGAAAGAAATGCTCATCAATTTCAACTGCCTTTTATATAGTTACATTGTTTATTGGTTATCTCATTCTGAGTAAGCTTCGCCCATTAAATTAATTGACCCCGCCCACTGGGACTGCTGAGACTGCTTTCTGGGACTGCTGGGACTGCTTTCTGGGACCGCTGGGACCGCTGTGGGACTGCTCTGGGACCGCTTTGGGACTGCTCTGGGACCGCTGTGAGACTGCTTTAGCAGTCCCAGAAAGCAGTCCCCTGGACTGCTCTGGGACTGCTTTGTGTCAGGTTGGGTCTGGTTGTTACTGTAATCCTGAAGAATATTTCTACATACCTAGCAGGGTAAGTAGAGTGAAATATGAAGATAAGGAACAGATATCAAGCTCAAAAGTCCATTAAATCAATCCATTTTTGGAGCAGAGCAAACACGGACCTCTAAAACATCAGAGGTGGAATCGGGTGCCACGGAGGAGTAAGTATACCCTGTCGACCGGTTACGCTCGCTGTGTGTTCCCTGTCATGATCGGGTAAACGGGGAAATCCGTAGGCAATTGCTTGAAAAAATAATGGTCTAAAAATTTGTGCGAAAAAAGGCACTCAATAGTCGACTTAATGATAGATTGGATTTGTTGACAAAGGCATTGTATTGACCATAAAATTTGGGAAATTTTGACTTTAAACGAGACTGTTTATATCCTTCCTACACCAATTTATTTGTCAAAAGCTTGCCTCCTTTCAGAAATTGTTCTTCCGTAGAGCAACTGGGAGACATAAACTCCACATAGATTTTAACATATACTCCCATGAAATATATGAAGATAACGAACAGTATTTAGGCTCAAAAGTCCACCAAACAATACAAAATAGGAGCAGAGCAAACACGGACCTCCAAACATCAGAGATGGAATCAGGTGCCATGGAGGCGTGAGCATCCCCTGCCAACCGGTAACACCCGCCGTGTGCTCTTTGTCATGATCGGGAAATAAAGAAATAAATAAATAAAAGGATGCTCATCCAGTAGATTATTCCCACATACATCTTCTAAACAGGATCAGTGGAGGGTATAACAAACTTCCATAGATAGGATATTGATCCTGTAGAACATTTCTACATAACCATTCCTTGCAGGAGCAGTAGAGGAAAACAATTTTTCATGTAAGGGATACTGATTCTGTAAGACATTTCTATATACATACGTACCTCTTTCTTGCAGGATCAGTAGAAGGTAACAAACTTCCATCTTCCTGTAGGAACCTCTCAGGTTTAAAAGTAAAGGGGTCTTTCCATTCTTTTTCATTATGAAGTGCAGTCCAAAAATTGCAAACAACCTACAGAAATGAATTATATAGCCTTTATACAGGAACATTCACTGTATTTACATGTATGAAGAGAGTTTATACAATAATTCTCTTTATGCATTTATTGATTCATAACTTGAAAAGTTTGCCCAAATATTAAAGATAATTAATAAATTTATCAATTTTAAATAACCTAACCTATTCTAAAATGAAGATGTAATAATTTACATGGTACAGCACACGAAAACAATTGCTGAAAGGTGAATTATGTTTGAAATTAATAGACACACCGTGGTATACTCTTCAACGAAGACACCATTGACCTCTGTGTCCCCAAGTGTGTTATGGAAGGTGATGGGAACAACCGGAATATAACGAAGTGTTTCCAAAATCACGGCTTCCACCAGGTGGCACTGCTGCCTGTCTTGTAGATCGGGTTTCCTAGCAACAACAATCACATTGTCGATTTCTATTTGTATAGACTTCTGGAGGTCGGGTCGTTTTGCCAGAATTTGTATAAGAGAAAGCAGCGTCCCTCTTGACGTTAAGTATGCTAGTATAGAAACATACAGTCAATTCTCGTTTTTTCAAACACGATGAAGACAAGAAAAAACTTCAATATATCCGAAGATTTGAGATATTAACTGATGTTAAGAAAATGAGTTTTGGAACTCCAACTTACTTTGTGATATTGGAGGTGTTCGAAATACCACATTTCAATTATATTTTAATCATTGAGTTTTTTGGTAAATCTTTGAATTGCATCATCAAGTCTGTGCAATGCACTTTTGTTACATATTGAAGCAAAATAAGTATTCATCCGTAATAAAATAAATTCGCTGATTGTGAGTAAATAAAACACATTTATTAAGAAGTGTCGGCTTGATCTACCTGCCGAGACGATGTTGACAATTAAACACCACAGGTTAATTTCATTGAACCATCGTTGCCCGGATGTATCGCGTTCTTGGAGCAGTTGTTTTAGGGACTGATATACACCTGTATTTTCGGGATGATCATTCTACATAAAAAAAAAAGAAAGCAAATGACTGTATTTTGATACTTGTGAAAATAACTGCTGTCACCAAAGATGAAACAGATTTTTTCGTAATCAATATTTGAATTTAAAAAATATCTGGAACTTTTTTTCTTTCGAAAGTTGAAAAAAAAGTTACAGATACTCTAGTGACTACATGTTTCTAGTATTTGAAATGAATGTTCTACAATATCTATTTTAATTTTTGTAAATGTATATATACACTTAGAACATCTTAAGCAGTCACTTATTTTTATTTTTCAGTGAGTACAATACATTGAACAAACAATTAATAAACAAGAAATCTAACCGATATTTTCTCTAGCATATCCATCATTCGATTCTTTGCTTTTCGTAGATCCTCTAGTTTTCTCGTGTGTTGAAGTGGAAGAAATCGGAGAAATGGAAACGTGTTATACATCATGTCAGGTCCCATATTATGGCTCTCATTGACGCAGAAGTCCAAGTCTCTTATTATCTGTTTAAGTTCTCCGTGCCTTCCTGAACTTTTCCCAATCAACTGTGATATAACAACAAAACAGTTGTGTTTATTTATATTTATCACATCAGCTTGACCGTTCACGGTAGCTCAGTCGGTAGAGCGCTCGCTCCGTGATCGGGAGGTCGTGAGTTCGAATCTCGGCCGCGACAGACCTAAGTCGATAAAAAATAGGTAGCAACTGTTCCTTCGCCATGCGCTCGGCACTTTGAAGTGAAAGTTGCGGGTCCTTCGGATGAGACCTTAAAAACCGAGGCCCCGTGTCACGGCAGGCGTTGGCACGATAAAGATCCCTCACTGTTCAATGGCCCTGAGTGCCGAGTAAAGGTCAAAATTTGAAGCCCTTCACCGGTATATGGTGACGTCTCTATATGAGTGAAAAATTCTCGAATGGGACGTAAAACAATAGACAATCAATCAATCAATCACATCAGCTTAAGATACATCGATTGATTAATTTTATATGTGTTGTCAAACATCCAATTTTGAGATGCTTTCACCCTTTTAGAGACGTGTCATGTCATCTGATTTACGTAGTGTGACTTTTGTGAACACTATATTTACTCATACAAAATTTTATTTTAAGCACGATTCTCTAAAAGAAAACTATAATTTATGATTTAGAATAAAAGCAACTTAGAAACAACGTGCGGGGCAAAATTTACCAGAAAAGGCCTTTCAATTTGAAAATAAAATGAAAGATATTACTATCAGTTATTTATCAAAGTGACTTATCTCTCTTGTTAGAGGGTTAATGAAGCTTAAGAGAAAGTAGGATGATACTGGATACATATTTATGAGAATTTACTTTACAAGGGAAATGTATGAAATTCATTGAATTAAAAAAAAAATACATATTTAAGTTTTTCCAAACAGAATCCTTTGTGGCAATTTATCATTTTTCGAGGTGACGTAAGTCAGCCTCGTAAGCAGCTGACCAGCTTCAATGGCGCCCCCCCCCCCCCTCTGATCACTACCATTTGCAATTTCCTATTTATCTTCACTCTTCAGGACTATTTACTCCTCTTGATGTTAACACGTGATGCCGTAGGAAGCAAGGATAGGTTTCTAATATGTAAACAACAGCACTTGCAAGATTGATTGGAAATATTTGAATGTTAATTTTTATCAATTCACTAAGAAATATTGTCTTCTGTTTATACATGCAGTGAAATCAGAATTTCGGTTAAAAAACAAGATTGAAAATGTATTTAATGTGATTTTCAAGCAAAAAGTAGTGTTTTCATGGATTTACAAATACTAAGTACAAGTTCCCGAGTGGGAATAAGTATCCCTACGCTCCGAACAATTTTAGAGAGGGCAAAATGTAAAGAAATGGCTATGACAGAGATCGTGACCTACATACGTCGATCGCAGGCAAGAGAGAACGAATCGTGGAACAAAACCAGCTGATAGAGGCGTTCTGCTTACTTTGAAATATGCAGTTAAATGAATTCTGGGATCAAGATAGGGGCGACTGATGCGCAAGAGTCGCTATCAAGCTCAAAGCTTTACCGTAAATTATCAAAAAAGCGAAGTTTAACATTTTCATTCCCTTTGTTTTGTAAATCATTTCAAAAAATCTGTTCAGAACACGTGGTAATATTGTCACTATTTTATAAATCTGTTCGGTGCTATCATTGTTGAAATAGGTGAAGAACAGCGGGGCGCTTGTACCTATTTCGCTGTTAATGACCACTTCATTGAATACTCGATCGGAACTCTCTAGAATTTGCGCCTCTTCACACAAGACGCAAAATAGCTGGACCTCTTTCGATGTCACTCCAAAGAGGTTGGAGATGAATTTCTACTATTTGTATTGTCAAATGATTAATTCATGCTGTGAATACAGACATTTATTTTAGAGCTATTAACTGTCCGATCAAACATGTGAAAAAAGGCTGATTGCTTGATAAAGTCGCTCAGTCGGCATGCAGTAGTAGATCTACTAGTTTTCATAATATAGTAATTAATTTATTATTCTTTGTTTTCATTTTATTATTAAATACACATTTGCAAAAAAAGAAATAGTAATAAAAATCAAATGAACTTTGAAGAGAGTGCTACAAGTTTGCTACTTTGATAAGGCTCTGGAAATATGGAGTGATGAGAAAAGAAAAATGTTTTAATAGTAAGTGTAAATGCATGTATTATGTAAATAAACTATGCAAGAAATTAAATAACTTTGATAAACCTAAGTCTATCATTTGAAAACTTTAAATTGACAATGTACGTATAATTTTATTTTCCAGGTAGACATTTATGTGTCATGCATTGGAAAATATCAAATTATTTTTTTCTTAAATATACCTTTTGTCTCTTTATGTATTCTTAGGATATAAATTTATAAGGTACATGTATACATTAATATGTATTTAATTTTTTTAAAGATTAAATAATGATCAATGTGTACTAAGAAGTCTCCGTAGAATTTAAAACTTCTCCCTAAATTTCTCTGAATGAGATGTAATGTCTCCCTAAAATTTAAGTCTAGGTTAGTAGTAATTGAAACAGAATGCTGCTTTTCAAACGTGGTCAGTGGCATTTCCATAAGTTTTAGAATTGTTATTACATATTTATAAGTTTTTTTGTCCCCTCGTTACATTTATGCAAAGTATTTTGATAGTTGTATCCATAATTTTCTCTTCGATTTTGAAACCTTACAGTTGTAGATTTTGAATTGCTGGACTAAATCCATCACTAAAATCATGGATACCCTAATCAACTGTCTATTTGATAAGTCAGATTTTAGAATGTGGTATGAATGCCTTTCTAAAAATATGATATTTTCCTACACGGCTGCTTCGGGCAGGCATCGTTAACTGACGACTTGGATTTGGGGTAATTTAAAGTGAAAGAATTAAAATCAGTTTGGAAATTCAATTTTTGCTTTAAAAAAATAATATGAATGAAAACAATGGTTTGAACTTGCACTTCATTGGTATTACACATTTTTACAAGCATAATAATTGTATTTGGAGAAAATGACATTGGAAATAGTTTCAAGCAAATGCATTTACAATTATCGTTGGACTGATTTGGTTTTGAAAGCATATGCATGTAGTAAAGCAATAATTTAGGAAAAAGGGCTATAGTTACAGTTTGTTATGACTGTCTTGAAATACGGAGAATTAGTTCTTAAATTTTGTACATTTATGTGCTCAGAAGAATGTATGGAACTTTAGTTATCTGAACATCATTTTCGATAAGTGTGCTACAGACACTACTGGACGAAAAAAGTGCTGAGAATCCCAATTTTACTGATAATGTTTGATAATTACTGATTCTGTGCTGTTCTTGCTGATAAATACTGATATTTACTGTTATTCCTACTGTTGTTACTGATAATTTTAGTTGTTTCTGATAAATACTGATAATTACTGTCGTCTTTACTGTTGAGTCTGATAAATACTGATAAATACTGTTGATGTGCTGTCAATGCTGAGATTTACTGATAATTACTGTGGTCATTGTTCTTGGGCTGAGAAGGTGCTAAAATAGAGCTTTATAGGATTGTTATCTCGCCTTAGGGTTGTTAAAACCTTCTTCAATCATTACGTTCTTTTATTTAATTTTCACAATAACATTTTCATGTTTTTTTTTTGTTTTTTTTTTATCTTTACTGCTTGTGACAAAAAATATTACACTGATCTCGATTACAATACGGTTTAGAAAATTCTGACAATTATTATTAAAGTTAACCATTAAATAAAATTGTCAGCGTAAAGCCAAATGTTTTCCAAGATTCTTTGAAAATAGTACATGTATGTCTGTAAGCAGAATAAATGGAATTTTACTTTTGCATGAAGATTCATTTTAACATAAATCAGTGTAATACTAAAACATTAAGGCTTTAAAAAAAGGATTGATAGCCCGACTCAAGAAATTTGGGTAAGGAGGATGGTGAATTTTTTTCATTAGTTTATTTATTTATTTTTTTTAATCTTGGGTCTTTCTGATCTTTTTCCTCCTGAAAATCTGCCCGAAACTGATAAATTTTATGCTTTTTTAAAAAAAATTAAGAGATGAAAACAGGGGTGAATATATTCCGTCTGGAGGCACATTTTTTATTTATTTTTTTTTTAGGAATATGTAGTGCAAGCATTCGTAGATCGTCCCAGAATATAACTCTGCTACATGTTTATAAATGTGCAACCGGCAGGTGGGGGCTGATCAAAAATTATTTGTCAGAATTATAGTGTAAGTGCAATGGTATACCCGTGTACATGTAATTTTGATGTTGGTCTCTTACAATTTCACAAGTCACCACATATAAAACATTTTTATTCAATAAGTATTAAAAATCTCATTCATTTAATTTAATTTTATGGAATGGAAAATAAGAAATGGGACCTACTAAATGTAAATAATGAATGATTAGGTTGATCGATTTCAATATTGTAAGGTCACAGATCTGAATGGAATACACGTTTAAATTGATTTGTATTGATCAGAAATCGAAGATCAACCCGTGATTTGGCTTTATTGTATACATGTCTTAGGCACTGGGGCAGAACGGGGTACACCATGTATATTCCATGTAAGTTGTAGTTGTCAGCGTAACAATGGGCACTAATTACCTATTGTTCTGCGTCTGCGGCCACCGGTGTTAATAATAAACATATGAACCTACACTGTACATGTACCTGCTACTTGGAGCAGGAACAATCTTTATGGACGCACATAAAATTTAATATTTGTTATCGATTTTGTTGAAAAATTAAATTAATAAAAAATGTTTAGCAAAATAGGACACAGTACAAAATAATAATAAAAAAAAAAGAAAAAAGAAATGAAGTTATATACATTGTACAAACTTATTAATTAAATGAAGTAACTTAAACATGTTAAAATAAAATAAATTAATTTTAATTCACGTAGATCTTTGCTCAGTACTTAATTTCCTTTACTAGTTTTACGTACATTTCTTGAGATACAGTTTAAAGAGTATGGGGGGGGGGGGGTACTACATGTAAAATTAATTCATTTGAATCTCTGTTAACAGTGTTTAAGGGCCTGTAAAACGGAGACGAGAAATTGATAAGGAAGATTTCGACTTCATCTAGTAAATAATTATGCAAAATTTATACGAGAATTTTTTTTTTAAAAAAGATGGTTTAGTGATTTAGCAATTTGTGTAATCCGAGAAAAACAATCTGTTATGAATTATGAATGTCAGTAACATGCTGACCGCACTCATGAATAAGTGTTATTATAAAGCTGAATTTTGTATTATTCCTTGATGCTCTAAAATAATTTATTCATGTATATTATAGATATTAAGTAATTATTACATGTATAACTTATGGAACTTCAAACTAAAGAATCAACCTTGCGCCTACGTATCTGCTTAGTTAACAGTATTTCATTCCCCCCCTTTTTTCTGCTACAGTCTGAATAACTAATTGAATCAGTCGCGTGTACTTTGAGTACATTGGTCTTGCACAACGAGAAATGGAAAGGACAACAAATATTATACTCTCTGTACAAGGTTATTTCTAATTTTACTAAATGCATATCGTAAGAAATACAAAATGTACTAATATTTGACCCGATTCTCAAAACGAAAGTAGACACATCTACATGTGGTGGGGAAGTGAATATTTTACACGGTGTTTTAGAACAACAGAGTAATTTCAATTTTTTTTTAATTTTGTTTTTTAACTTACTGACCGCGTATAAGCAGGTTATTAACTTTAAAATTGATCTAGCTGTTACCAGTAATTACGTACATTGTACTAACGAAAAAAGAAAGATGCGTATTTCATTGAAATAAAATCACACTGCATAAGATGTCTAGGCCCTAGTTCCTGATGGCTTAAAAAATAAAATAAAAATAAAAACAAAAAAATCAACGAAAAATAGATAGCTTGATACCACAAAATGATATTAAAAAATTGCTAGGAGGACATATAATAGAACTAGAGCGCACTAGCTGAAAGAGATAATTCAACAAATTTAAGATCATGATTAAATCTTATTATTTAAACCTGGGGTGGGGAGGTCTCAACTAACAGAGCAGACGGAACCCATGTTTCTTGTCAAATATTCAGGTTCTCTACATGAAAATATAATTTTAATTGCAACCATTGACTGTATTAAAGATGCTTCCTAAAATTTTTAACGACAGTACAAATGCACGCGGAAAAAATTACGAGATGGTATTTAAAAATAAAAACCTTTGTGAATAAAAAAAAATGTTTTAAAAAGTACCTGCATAGGTTGTAAAGTAATGGTTCTAACACGTGTGTGTTTTACATGAGTTTATTGCAGACTGTTTAGTATAAACAAAGAGCATATAGATATAGCATGCAAGCACGTGGTTACAGAGTTCACAGGAGATAGGGATAATCTCAGAGTACAATATATACGTTACATCCCCCTTCTTTGAGAAAAATGTCTTTACTTAATTGATATAATTATCATTAAATAAGAAATAAAACATTGAAAATTACTTAAGAGTCCATTATGCCTAATTTAAACTTTTGGAGATAGAATCTTTGTTTTACAGTTTCTTTTCCAATATGTAATATCTTACACTGAACATTCACTTCACTTAGAAAGAGGTATATTTACAATATATACAGATGATGGTAATACAATAAATGATCATGTGGCCAATAACAGCAAAGAGGATTCTTTTGCTGTTTCACTTATCACTTGTAGATATTAAAATCTTCAAAACGTTTTGGCATTTTTATTTGTCTTGTAGAGCGTCTGATGGGAGTAATTTTATCCGCTGATGGTTTGGGATTCTCTGCTGATGGTGGCTTATCAGTCATCACATTATCAAAGTTTGGGGGGTCTACTACGTTGTTCCCAATGAATGGCTCATTGCTGCGCCGCAGATGTTTCCTGTTTCGACGATAGGTGCGACCATCCTCTGTAGTAACCTGATATGAGCGGATATTAACTTTCTCGTCAACTTTTGCCTTAGTCCAGGTTTTTTCCTTTCCAAAAGGTCGAATTCTCACGGTTTCCCCGATATTAATCTTTGGTATGTTTTTAGCTGTTCGGTTATAATAGAACTCTGACAGAGATTTCCGTTTTGCTAATTGCTCTTTGACATTTGTCGGTAGGGATGGTTTCAAAAGTTTAGATTTTGTTGGTAGTAGTGTTCTTGTACGACGTCCCATTAGTCTCTGGACAGCAGAACTTCCGATATTTTCTGAAGGAGTGTTTCTCCAATCGAGTAGTGCCAAGAAAGGTCTTTGTTGTCCAACTGGCATTTCTTTAATAAAGTTTTTGCAATTTTCACAGCACTCTCTACCTTTCCGTTAGAATTTGGGTATGAAGGTGATGAAGTTATATGAATGAACTCATAGTTTTGCTACCGAAGGGAGGTCCATTGTCTGAAATCAGCATACCAGGAATTCCATGTCTAGCCATTTGGGCTTTGAATTTGTTTATGACTTCCTTTGATTTCCTATCATGTAGACGGTCAATTTCAAAGAAGTCTGAATAATAGTCAACAGTAATGAGATACTGTCTGTCATCAAGCTGGAATAAATCAGTTCCTATCTTTTGTCATGGTCTGTCCGGTATCTCATGAGAAATTAGAGTTTCTTTACCTTGCTCACCTTGTATGGTAGCGCAGACATGACATTTCTTAATGTAGGTTTCGATAGCCTTCATCATGTTCGGCCAATATAGAGATTCTTTGGTCCTGAGGTAACATCCTTGGATTCCAATGTGGCTAGAATGTACCCTTTGTAGAATTTCATCTTTCAATGTGAGTGGAATTACAATACGGTCTCCCTTGAAGATGAGTCCGTCCTGAGAAACTAATTCATCTCTAAATGTATGGTAGAACTGTATGTCAGGTGGCAGTTCATCGCGCTCAGGCCAGCCATCTTTGATTGTTTTGGATAGTTTTAGCAAAATTTCATCCTGTGAAGTTGCAAGTTTTATTTTTTTCAAAGTATCCGATGAGATATTGGCGTACTCGCTCATGGTTATGGATTCAGCATCCTTTTCCGATTTTGAGCGATCGGTAATTGCGAGTACTCGATCTTCTGAATCATGTTTCTGTAGTTGAACTGTAGGAAGGTAGGCTCGACTCAGTGTGTCGGCAAGATACATTTCAAGTCCTCGTTTGTATACAATTTCGTAGTCAAACTTTTGCAGACGTAAGAGCATTCGTTGCAGTCGTTTTGGCGCAGATATAAGGCTTTTCTTGTTGATTATTTCCAGAGGTTTGTGATCTGATTCTACCTTCACCTTACGTCCAAGAGTGTAGTGCTCAGAACGTTCCATTGCGAATAGGACAGCAAGTAGTTCCTTTTCAATTTGCGCATACCCAGTTAGCACAACAACGTTATTAAAACGTTATAAAAACGTTATGAAAATGTTATGAAAACATTTTCTAAAACGTTATTACAACGTTATTTTGTGTGGTTTTTTAAACGTTATTATAACGTTTCGCAAAAACGTTGTACTGAAATGTTTTAAAAACATTTTTAAAAACGTTTGGAAAACATTTTTAAAAACGTTTTGAGAACATTTCTTAAAACGTTTTTAAAACATTTTAAAAAATCAATTTTACAACATAATAAACAATATATGTCTTATAATTTAATAAATTTAAATCCATTCATTAATGTTGTCTAAACACTGTTTTTTTTTTAACACCTGCACAATAAAATTACAGTCTTCCTTCAAATGAAATTTGTACTGTTTGAAATACGAAAAGATCACAGCATCCTTATTCCATTAGAAATCAATCTGTTATACACTTGGACTTCTCTGTGTTCTTCTGAAAAACAAAAATTAATTTGGACATAAAACTTTGACTAAATGATTACCCATTCATACTCGTACATTTCTTTTAAGTTAAACATATCCATGTAATAAGGCATCTGACAACTAACTAAACATACTCGTATATAAAAATCTGATAAACACAAAGAAAGTATGCTTTGGTATACAGTTGTATTAATAAACAAAAAATTACAGGTGGTATTATATCTATATATTTCTGACAACCAACTTCAAACGTACCTTATCATATTTAATAATTCCTCCAGGAAGGTATGGATCAAACCTCTTCGTCCCACCTCTCATTAAATCGTAAGAGATTGTCTTTGATGCTTTGTAAGGCTTGTAAGCAGCAGCTACTAAAATGTAATGTGAAATTCATTATAAGAAATGTAAATAAGTTAATGTATAAACATATTTAACAAAGGCATCGGAAGCAATTTAAAAGTGGGGGGGGGGGGCTAAACCAACAAAAACGTTGGGGGGAGGGATTAACCCGAATTTTCACTAACTCTATTACGTCTATCTTTGCAAAAAAGTTGGGGGAGGGGGCTTAGACCCCCCGGCTCCGACGCCTATGTTTAATAGTTCAATGAAAACAACACAGCATTACTAGTACTTAGATCAGTTTCCTTTTGCTGTATACATTTTCCAATGATTTATAAGTTGATATGTTAACTGAATCTTAATGCATTTTCTTAGCATTAATGGTGATAAAACTTACTCTTAATAATTCTTTAAAGGGGTGCAACCCTTTGTCCAGTCTTAGTGAACTGACCCATGGAATTTGTTTGCATCATTGTCCTGCATATCTCCGCCCTGCGTTGAAACCACTGCATTCACTAAAATGAGTGTTATATTTTATCTTGAAGAATGTGTATTTCAAAATTTGATTGCTAGCAAATATATAATCAAGCCTGAGATTGATTAATTAATTTCTCTCCTTTCCCTTCCAAAAGAAAATAGGTTTAACGTGGCATTGTATTCTGTAATACATAACTCAAATTCAGAAAAGTCTAACTAATCCCCTCTTAAGAATTATTTAACCCTGTCTTGTTAAGACCCCCTCCCACACCCATTCCTATTCCCAACTTTGTTTTAATTATGTTTTGAAACCCGTCACACAATTTTAATACATGTAAATAAACCCAAGTTTTCAAACAATAAATCGCCCGCCTAATTCAAATGCCAATGAACTTTATAAACATATATATACACCTAAGTCTATAAGAATGAAAGATCTAAGATTCTAAATGCATATGTATTTAAAGCTACACTATATGATTGCTAAATATACAGGCAATGAATACTATTTAAAATTTAACATACCAAACGTTGATATTTGAAAGGTATTCCCCTATTCCTTTTCTTTGTCTTACAAGAATGCCGCCGGGTTTTTCAAAACTGCAATTCTGTTGACCTATATAGATCACATGGACATAGTTTGCAACAAGGATCGGCTGCATCAGCACTGGCCATGGCATCCCGCTGTGTCACTCAATTAACTCTCGATAAACACATTATCGAAGGGGGAACTTATTTCCCATAGCACAAATAAATGACTCCACTGAATTTTTTAATTCAGGAACTTTGTTGAACAAATAAGTTTTTGGAATTTTTTTTACTCTCCTTGTTATATATAAATATTATTTACAATGGTATAAAAGAAAAATATGAACACATTTCCGGGTTGTTGTTGTTGTTTTTTTTTTTTTTTTTTTAATTTTGGGGGTATAAATTTAATTATCACAACTCAAAATCAATCATAACTCAAACTTTGGAGCTATTTATAAGAAAACAAAAGTTTTATATATTTATATACATGTATCGTCTTGCACTAAATAATTAAAAACTTCTTATGCTTGGAGTTGGTATTTCTGTAACGTTTTTACAATGTTTTGCAAACATTTTAAGACAATGTTGTATTCATGTTGTCTCCTAACATTTGTATTTCATGAAATTTATAATAATTATTCACAAAGTATTTTTTTTTAATCATGCTATTCAATTTATAGCTGCGCGATATTTTATCATTATAGAAATTAATGTTAAATGCTAAATGTTTTCTCAAAACCTCCTTGCAACAGGAAAAAAATGTTATAAAAACATTTTTAAAATGATTGTTAAGAACGTTTTTTAATAACGTGTTTACAACCAAAATAAAACGTTTTAAAAACATTTTATAAACGTTTTATTAAAAACGTTTTCAGATAACATCAATACAACGGGAATAAAATGTTATGAAAACGTATTGTGCTACCTGGGTAGTTAACTTCGGTCGGAGTCATTGCACGAGATGCATATGCGACTGGGTGTTCATTTTGAATGAGACAGGCTCCCAGTCCACGTTCAGATGCGTCTCACTGTACTGTTGTTGGTAGATTAGGATCAAAGAAGCGTAGTACAGGGCTTGTAGAGAGTATGTACTTTAGTTCATCAAAAGATTTGCCGTGAACAGCGTCCTCCCATATGAATTCTGTATCTGTTTTCAGTCGATCTCGGAGGGGTGCTGTAATTTCTGAGAGGTTTGGCGCAAATTTCTGGACAAAATTCACCATTCCTAGTAAGCAGTGAATATCAGCTTAGCAGGTAGGTTTCGGCATTTCTGTGATTGCCTTGATTTTCAAGGGGTCTACTTTCAAACCTCCGCTTGAGATAATATGTCCTAAATATGAGACGGAACGCATTCTCAATTTCATTTTGTCCTTGTTTGTTTTGATGCCTTTAGATCTGTATTTTTCAAGTAGGTTGGAGAGTTTTTTGTCATGATCGAGGATTGCTTCCGCAGCCATATATGACTATGTCGTCATGTATTACCTTGATTCCTTGAAGACCCGAAAGTGCTCCATCCATTCTGCGTTGGAACTCCTCACTAGCTGGTTTAATTCCGAAAGGCATGCGGAGCCATCTATTTCTACCCCAAGGTGTCAGGAGACTGCTTTCATCGTCCAGAACGATCACTACTGTAATGATTTACCCCTTAGATTCCAAAAAATCCCCTGACGTTCCCCTGTCTGTCCCTGACATTTTCCTGTCTCCCCCTGACTTTCTCCTATGATCCCCTGTCGTTGTCCCTGACTACCCTGTTTACTCCCTGACGTCCCCTGACTCTGCCCCTGTTACCACTGTCTAACCCCTGATGTCCCCTGACATTCCCTGACGTCCCTGTCAACTCCCTGATGTCCCCTGACTAAGTCCCTGACCACCCTGCCAACCCCCTGTCGTCCCCTGACATTCATTTTGACCAGGAAAAAGGGTTAAAATATGTTTTGTTGCTATTTACTTGTGAGAAAATCGATACCTTACTCCTAGCAATTTTCAAGTTTTGTGAAAATGTAGATTTAATCATTAGTTTTTCTGTTTGAAATATCTTTAGCGAATCTTTCAAAATATTATTTTATTGATTGTTACTAGCTTTTCAGATAAATCTTAATAAGGATAAATGCCGTTACTTAAAAAAAAAATAAATTACTAATTTATTGCGTCTTGTGTAGCACGAATGGCATGTAAATATATATATATATATATATATATATATATATATATATATATATATATATATATATATATATATATATATATATATATATGACATATGGCTTTAGGAGACCAAGGAGGATATATTTTCTGGCTTAGGGAGACCACTGGATTAAGGCGACCTTTTTCGGTCTCCCTATTATTTTGACCTCATCAGTATTGCAAATGTCTTTTTATAGATGAATAAACAGTCTGCCATTAAATATTATTAATCTTTAACTCTGTTATTTAACATTCAAAAGTTGTCTAATTTCTATCATCTTCCCTAAAAAAGAAAAGAATTTATAACCTACGTATAATTTCAAAGGATAATTTTTCTGCATTTTGGAGACCATGAAAAACATGCAATTAAACAAAAAATCTAGCATATATATTTTTTCCGCTTTTGATTTGTTCAAATGAGTGTTTCTTTAACTTAGTTTTCCATGTTTTATGTTAAAAACCTAAAAAGGAAAAATATTGTAAATTTATGAACCATGTTTTGAATTCTTAGCAAGTGCTTTCCGTCATTTGTTCCGAATGCCATCGGAATGCCCCTTCAGTTTTCAGAAAATGACCTCTGAACACCATGGATGTTGAGAAATTTGGGTAAGTAACTAAAATGATACAGTAATAAGTTGTAATTAAGAATACACAAGAGAAACATTCGATTTTTTTTTTTTGGCCTAGTAATTTAGCTTTCAAGAGAAAAAGAATTAGTATGATTTTAAATAATCGTTAGACTATAGTTCGGTATATAAAATCCTGAAGGAAATTCGAAATAAAGTTAAATGATAGGCCCCTATATTTTTTAATTCTTTTATGCAAGTCCACAAACAAATTAAATATTTAAAGATTAGGCCGAACGTAGAAAAAAAATAGTCTCAAAAGTTGACGCAGCTATTTCGAGCTTAAAAATTTAAATTAAACTTTCTGTAAACATCATGCAGGACATGATCATCATGATATAGTACAAATGAAAC